GTCACTTTAGGAATAATTGTCCGGTGAGGAAAAACAAGTCCCAGGCTGCTGTAGTTGAAGAGAAACCGAATGAGAGCTATAATTCAGAGGAAGATTTAGCATTAGTCAGTTCTGCTAGGTCTGATGATTTATCTGATAACTGGGTTCTAGATTCGGGGTGTTCGTTCCATATGTGTCCACGTCGAGATTGGTTTGATACATATGAACCTCGCAATGGGGGTATGGTTATAGTCGGTAACAATGCTCCATGTAAGGTCACAGGTATTGGTTCCATGAGGTTGAGGACTGTTGATGGGCGGAGGTTAACTTTGACTAATGTACGGCATGTTCCTGCTTTAGGAAAGAATCTGATTTCATTGGGTACCCTGGATGAATTGGGGTACAATGGTGTGTTTTCAGATGGGGAGTTGTGTATTTTCAGAGGTTCTGAGTTGGTACTTAAGGGTATCAAAAGGAACACCCTCTATGTTTTTGAGGGTGTTACACTGCCTAGTTCTGCGGTTTGCGCATCTGTATCTCACCAGGAGATGACTAAGATTTGGCACATGAGGCTTGGTCATATGGGGGAGAAGGGGATGCAGCTATTGTCCAAGAGGGGTCTTCTATCCGGGGTCAAGGTTGCCAACCTTGAATTTTGTGAGCATTGTGTGTTTGGTAAGAAACACAGGTCAAAGTTCAGCAAGGGTGCTCACATTACTGATGCAGTGCTCGATTACATCCATTCAGATTGCTGGGGTCCATCTAGAGTTGAAGGTATGGGAGGTTACCACTATTTTGTGTCATTTGTTGATGACAAGTCCCGATACACATGGCTTAGGTTGCTTAAGTCAAAGGATGAGGCCTTCAAAGTTTTCAAGCAATGGAAAGCTTTGGTGGAAAATCGACAAGGAAGGAAGATCAAGAAGCTACGAACGGACAATGGGCTAGAGTTTTGCAAAGACGAGTTTAATCAGTTCTGTGCAGATGAGGGTATAGGTCGGCATCATACTGTCAGGAAGACACCACAGCAGAACGGTGTAGCAGAACGGGTTAATCAGACACTGCTAGAGAGAGTTCGATGCATGCTCTCTAATGCAGGGCTTGGGAGGAGGTACTGGAGTGAAGCTGTGTTAACAGCTTGTTATGTCATTAATAGGGGTCCTCATTCTGGAATTGATTCCAAAATTCCGTTTGAGATCTGGAGTGGTAAGCTGCCTAATTTTTCGAATTTGAAGATTTTTGGTTGTGTTGCTTATTATCATGTTATTGAGGGTAAGCTGGATCCACGAGCCAAGAAGGGGTGTTTTGTTGGGTACGGGGATGGTGTGAAGGGGTTTAGAATTTTTTCACCTTCGGAGGGTCGGGTCATTCTTAGTAGGGATGTTACTTTCGATGAAAACACCATGTATTCAATTAAAAATGCAGAGATTTCAGATTTGAGAAGGGAAGGAGACAATTTATTACAGACAGATGGGGTACTTGAGGTACATCAGTCTACCATTGCTGATTTACCTCGGGTACAATATATTGATGATGATGCTGATGTTCCAGTGCCGGGTACTCCTGAACCTGAGATTACTCCTACTCATTCTAACTCTGGGGATGAGGTGGAGCAATCTAATCAGGGGTCATCTAGTCAACCTGACACCATTCTTGAGATGCCTAAACGAGTTATCAAGAAGCCTGTTAGATTGATTGAAGAGATGGAGGGAAGAAATTGCTGTGTTGATGCGATGACAGGTTATGCATTGAGTGTAGCTGATGATGTAGAGTCATTTGAACCTGCCACATATAAACAAGCAATTAGTTGTAGTGAGTCTGCGCAATGGCTTGCCGCAATGGGTGAAGAGATGCAGTCTCTTTACAAGAACAGAGTGTGGGAACTGGTAAAGGTACCGGAAGGGAGGAAGCTTGTGGGTTGTAAATGGATTTACAAGAAGAAAGAAGGGTTGTCGGAAACTGAGCAAATACGTTTTAAGGCTAGGCTAGTTGCTAAGGGGTTCAGTCAGGTAGAAGGGGTTGACTTTGTTGAGATATTCTCACCTGTGGTTCGACATACTTCTATCCGTGTGTTATTGTCAATTGTAGCACATTTTGATCTTGAGCTGGAGCAGTTGGATGTTAAAACGGCTTTCCTTCATGGCGATTTGGAGGAGGAGATTCTGATGAAGCAGCCCGAAGGATTCGAAGTTCCTGGAAAGGAACACTATGCCTGCAGATTGCTAAAGTCATTGTATGGACTTAAGCAATCCCCCCGACAGTGGTACAAAAGGTTTGATTCTTTTATGGTTTCACAAGGTTTTGACAGGAATTCATATGATTGCTGTGTGTATCATAGTAAGCTGGATAATGGTTCCATGATTTATCTTTTGTTATATGTTGATGACATGTTGGTTGCCACAAAGAATAAATCTGATATTGCTAGATTAAAGGAGATGCTTAACTCGGAGTTTGACATGAAAGACTTGGGTGCAGCTAGGAAGATTTTGGGTATGGAGATCTACAGGGATCGGGCTAGAGGTAAGCTTTTCTTGACTCAGAAAAGCTACATTGAAAAGATTCTGTCTCGTTTTGGGATGGAAAAATCGAAGCCTATAAGTACGCCAACTACTGTTAGTTGTAAGTTGTCTTTGTCTATGTCACCTCAATCAGAGGAGGAGTTGTCTTATATGTCTAGAGTTCCATATGCAAACGCGGTTGGTTGTTTGATGTATGCTATGGTCTGTACTAGGCCGGATATTGCGCATGCTGTTAGTGTTGTAAGCAGGTTTATGGCTCGACCTGGGAGGGAACACTGGCAAGGGGTGAAAAGGATTTTTCGCTACCTGAGAGGGACAGCTGATATTGGTCTTGTGTACGGGAATGGTAGGGAATGCTTGGTCACTGGGTACAGTGATTCTGATTATGCAGCTGATGTGGATACCAGGAGGTCTGTGACTGGTTATGTGTTCACTTTGGGTGGTTAGTTGGAAGTCTACATTGCAGTCATCAGTTACGTTGTCAACTACTGAAGCTGAGTATATGGCTTTAACTTCTGCAGCTAAGGAGTCTATTTGGCTCAAAGGCCTAGTAGGTGAACTGGGTATTGCACAGGATTTTGCTACAGTATATTGTGATAGTCTAAGTGCGATTTGCTTAGCTAAAGATCAAGTACACCATGATCGGACGAAGCACATTGATGTCAGGTATCATTTCTTGCGTACTGACAAGAGGATTAAGGTGAAGAAGATTGGGACTGCTGACAACCCGGCTGATTTCTTCACTAAGCCTGTTCCGTTTAGCAAGTTTAAACATTGCTTAGACTTGCTAAATATTGATTACTACGTGATGTAGTAGGCCCTGAGGGGCGAAGTTGGGGAGCTCCTGGTGTAGGTGTGTTGGCATTAAGGTGGAGCTTGCCCGGGGCTTGTGATGCAGGTGGAGCATTATGAGTTGTTATACTTGGAGACGAGTATGTGATGGGTCTTGGTTGAAGACTTATCGGGATGTATGGCTTATGCATGAGTCCTGCATCGGGTTTGGCTTGAGATGTTTTTTCACTATGTCTTGATGGGGTCGTTTGCTGACTACGAGTTCTCGTCAAGGTGGAGATTGTTGATAAGTATATTAGGTGACTCGTACTTCGTAGCTTTGTCCGCCCGATCGGGCGGACATTGCCCGGTCTGACCGGGCGGAAGAAGAAGAGGTGCCTGGCAAATTCGTTGAAGAAGCTGCTCTCGCGCCCGACCGGGCGAGCCTTCGCCCGACCGGGCGAGCCTTCGCCCGATCGGGCAGACCTTGCCCGGTCTGACCGGGCGGTGGGGGTTGGATACGTTGAAGCATTCGTATGGAGTTTTCTTCTCGCGCCCGATCGGGCAGACCTTGCCCGGTCTGACCGGGCGGAGAAGGAAAAATGCGGAGACGCGGATTTTACGATTTAAAGTTATCTTTTATGTTATCTTTTTGCCCAAGTATCTTTTATTTTAGGGATTAATATAAAACCTCCCTAATATTAGTATTAGGGTTAAGAGAGACAGAGTGAGAGCCGTTCTTGAGAAATACAAGAATCATCTTTGTAATCTTTGCAGTTTATAGTGAAATCATTCGATCTCGGTGCCCGTGGACGTAGCTATCACATCGATAGTGAACCACGTAAATTCTTGGTGTTGTTCTTATTGTTTGCATTGAATTTCTTTATTGTTTTCTTGTTTGTTTTCGACCTTTGCTTCCGCTGTCGCACAACAATGTTTCTCAGTTTAACTCCTTTTCATATAAATGAAATTATAGGTCTAGATATTAATATATATATTACAAGTTTTAAAATCAAATAAACCAGGAGTAAGATCATTAAGTTATATTACATAACAACAACTAGCAATCATATATATGTCTGCCAAATAATAAACTTGAATGTAATTATACCAGCTAGCTAGATCGAGTTTTATGAGAAAAATATGTCAATCAAACATGTATATTGATAACATACATTATATATGGTGGTACTGGAGCCGACCCCTCCACATCGAGAAGTGTTAGTAGATGATTGCACACATATAGCAAGAAAGAGAAGAACCAAGACTTGATGAAATAAATCATGACTATACTATGATATGCATGGTAAATGAGATTTGACATGCATTGCCATTAACTCGAGTTGAAGTACTCTAAACATATTTAAGTTACATCTCTAGCCACTATTGAACCTCAATTGAAATAAATTCATATATTCCTAGAATACATCAAGGAGTATTAATTTCTACTTGCATTGTACTCCCCTTGAGGTTGTATCCCACTAAAATGACAGCCAAAAGTAATTTTGTAAATCAATGAAATTAAAAAAAGAAATCAAAGATCTCTTTGAGATCTGCTTCTTTTATCACACCCTTTTTTGACAACATAACCCTTTTCTTCTTTTTTCATTCATTGCTTCTTTTGAGCTATTTTTGTTGATCACCAACTATATTTGGTACAATCCTTTAGCTTCCTTTTAGCCTTTTAATTCCTTGTCTTCTCTTTCTACAATCTAGGACCACCTGTAAAAAAATAATTCATATTATTAGTAAATTTATTCATAATCAACAAATTAAAATACTAGCACTTTAAGAGTATAGTGTTTAATAATTTTTTTACTAATTACTCTGTATTTTTTTTTATAATGCTAAAAAAGGCAGATGAAGTATACCACATCCTAGGTTGTTTAGTTAATTCATTTTTTATTATATGACTATTTAATTAACAATTTATACTTCATACTCGTATCTATCTACACATATAATTAAGTTAAAATATGAAATAATTGTTTAAAAAGAATTCAATTATTAAAAAGTATAATATGGTGTGTAATAGTTTATATCATTTTAGCTAATCAAAATATATAATTAATTTGAAACAGAGTAAATAATTTGTTACGGTTAATTTGTGTATTTAATACTCCGTAATAATTAGTCTAATTAACAAGAAACTCCTTCAATATATTTTCTCTTTTAAAAAATGCGTAGTAGTACTATTCATGTAATTAAGAAAGTGTATGGAGACTTAAATGGTTATGTTGAAATTGGTTAGTTGAGAAAGGGGGCTGAATAAAATCATAATGTTCCTGGAAATTAGTAGATCTCTCCTGTAAAAAGAAATCGAAAATGCTAATTAAGATTAATGATATACAGTATGATCTTATTAAAAAAAAAAAAGTAAATAATGTTGATAAAAATATAAAATCAAATAAAATACCTGATGAAAATGAGTAGCAGAAAAACCTTGTGAAGAGTAATCTACCATCCTTTTTAATGATGTAACTTTATTTTCTCCACCATTATTCCTCTGCAAAATAATATAACAACAATATATAGTCTTATTAATAAACTAGTATAAAGATCACATTTTCATGCACAATGCAATATAATGTCGGTCCATATTATAGTCAGATAAACTCATTTAGTAATAATGTGACAACTAAATCTGAAGAGAGCCGAAGAGGTAATCATCAGTTATTACCTCGGAGGTGAAAAGAGGGGAGCTAGCGGTATCATCAAGGCCAAAGTCTTGAGCCTGAAAATATTGTTGTTGTTGTTGTTGATGTAGAGTTGATAATTTGACACTTTGTTTTTTTCTGCTACTATAACAAAAAACCTCATCTTCATCATCTTCATGATCAAAATGTGGAGGGCCAGAAGATGCATCAGAAACCATGGACAAATCTTCATCTTCATCATCATCATCATCATCATAAAAAAGACTAGCACTTTTTTTACCTTGATGAAAAGTAGCAGCCACTTTTTGGTGTTTATTAATATTACATTTAGCACCAGTAGAAAAGCTACTGCTAGAATGTTCCAAGTATAGAGTCCAACCAGACTCACACCCACTACTACACTCTGATGAAGAGGGTGCCGCTGTTAAAACTACATTATTCATCATTTTACGTACTACTACTGGTACGAGTATATATTTTTACGGTTTGGTTTGGTTTGGTTTATGTGGAGAGTTTGTAATAATAAAGAATAATGATAAAGAAGGGGGAGATTTATAGAAGAATTGAAATGGAGAAGAATGAATGAATTGGAAGTGGCAGTTGGGAATGAATACATACATACATATAAGAGAAGATAGAAAAGAAAAGAAAAGAGAAAGGAGAGAGAAAGAGAAGGAAGGGTGCGTGCACATGGTAGACAGCTCGGCAGAGTGTACGCTCATAACAAAAACGGGGTACACGTCCATCTTTTCTATCTCCGTATTTGGACACCTATGTTATCATACTCTAACCCCGTGACCAGTACTAGTATATTAGCCCACTTTCTTTTTTTTCTAAAATTATTTGTAGCAATTTTTAAGAAAATTAGAAAAAGACAATTTGCCCATCATCTTGTGTCATTGTTGTGGGTGTACGTGGTCGCTTTTAAGGGGGCTAACTTATTTATGTTCCGTACGATCAATTTCTTTCACTAATTGTTGGATTTAGGATGGTGTAATTAGTTACCAAACCAACTAATTAGGTTTAATTTAGATATATGGTATCATATTCGTGTAGAGATGGCAAAATCAGTGAGTTGTCCTTTGATCTTTGACTCTCTATTTGACTCGTGTTAAAGAAAAATAAATAAATAATGTTGGAACGTATTAATAAGGCGGCATGTATCTAATCTGTATACTTTCATTTTTATAAATAATAAGGTGTAGATTATGTTAAGCAAAAAATTATGACCACAAGATGGTTGGGCTTAGCTTTTGCATATATAATGATTGTTATTGAAAAGTCTACACTTAATTTACATATTTAAAGCATTAGACACGTATAGTAAAGAAGGATCATCATCGATCATTGTCCTCATCTTCCTTGATTCCTTAGCTTGTATATGTGATGTCCCACTCGATCTCAATCTTGTCTCAAAACATACTACATACATATTAATGCATGACATATACCGGGGAAGGGGGGAAGCTTAAGACTCGACTCTTTTTTGTAGGTTAAAATTCATCTTTCTATCCTAAATCATACTCATAATTAAGTTGTGGTTTATGTTGAACCTCATTGTGTTGTGCGTGCCATGCTTATGAGCTGTCTTTGCATTTGTTGAACAAGAAAGGGCTCAACTAGAATTGAAAACAACCACCTTAATTATAACATTAGTCATATATCTAAGAATCGAAATTGCTCATCTCACTATCATTAATACTCAGCTGATGAAATCTTACTGTCTTCTAAATGGTCCAAACTATCCTCTTATATCTATGAATAAGCTTATAGGATAGACTCCGTATTCATATATTGTTATATGTCCCCATTGCATGAAAATGGAGTATTTTTGAGCTCTTTTGTGGTCCTTGCATAACTTGAATTTTTGCAATGCAATCCAAAATCTCAAGGTTTGGCATCACACGGTTACATAATTGTATGGATTTTATTTTACATCTACCCTTATATTAATGCTTATAGATAGCAAAATAAAATATAATTTGAAAATCCTACCAGCTCATCAGCTAGCTTAGCTAGGCCACCAATTCACTTCATCATGAATAATTAATTACTCATATGTAAGAAGATTAATCTAATAAATTGTTACATGATTATGTGTTTCTCGTGTAATTAATGGTATACAGAAAGTATGTGAATGTGAATAGTGGAATGTCCCATTGATACGATATTTGAAGTACAAGTACGGGAAAAATGTATTTTTATGTTTTTCTTAACTAACTTTAAGTCTTGTATATATATACTACATATATTCTATCTTAGAATTTTTCGCCCCCTAAAAGAAAAGGTATGAAGATCCGCCACTGTCCGTATATGTATGGGTAATTTTTTTTAACCATTAGGAAATTAGAAATAATTGAGGCGTGATAGATGATGGGTGGAGTGCTTCCAAGGTAACTAGATATGTACTAGTTGAGCATTAATGTGGATATATACATAAACATATACATGCATGCATGGAAGGGATCGAGTAGTGATAAGGGTCCGATCTATCAATCTAGCTAGGTTGTTGCACAGTTGCACTGATGTGTAAGTTTCAATGATACAATCAGTTTATTACGTACAGCGGTACAGCTATATTAGTACTCATGCCTTGAAACATCCAAATTTCAAACCATGCAACATTTTCTCGAAAGATCAAGGTCACCCATAAAAACTAGCATGTAGTATATCTGTACTTCATAATATACGTGGTCCAATCCATCATCCATACATGTATTAGTAGACTTATACTTGTATTATCAAAAGATACAATATCAATAATAATAATAATAATAATAATAATAATAATAATAATAATAATAATAATAATGCATTGGAATCTAAGATAGCTCCAAACTTATATCTACTTATAAACAAGGTGGTCCAAAACCTACATATTGGTGAATTTATATACTTACTCGGTTATTTTCATTTAATATATTTTGACTTTTGACATTATTTATATACATTACTTTTACCTTATCTTTTGTGTATGCATAACACACATATGAGAATGTATGGTTGTATAAGATATATTGTTAAGACTTTTTTTTTAAAAAAATATCAAATAATTTTTATAATTTTTTTATTGATAACTTAAGATATTAACAATTAAAGATTTGTAAAGACGGACGTGATAAAAATGTGTCAACTAGACAACTGTAAATGAATTAATAAAGTATATGAAAACTTTATAATATAGCTCCAATATATAAGTGGGTTATATTTCGTAAGCTAGATCGATTCACATGTGCATGGTGAAGAAATGGTTTAATTTGCAAGTGATGAACCAATTCTGCCGCTACAAATTTCACTTCACAAGTTTAAACACGCACTCACACACACATGTGGGCACGTGTGCATATGCTGTTGCATGGGGGATTTCACCACAGTAACACACATGTTTGCACGTGCGCACGGAATTCGACCTAAAATGCTCTTCCCATATTCATTAGTAGTCAGATTACTGTTACTGTATGTCTAGTTAAAGCGTCCGTGTTTATGTGTACTTCCATTTTGTTGGTTTCTTCGTCCTTTCTCTTTGTTATACTTGAATTAATCAACCAATCCAATAAATTACTTCTGTAATACTAGTCTTCTCTCAGTACATATCCCTTTCATTGATCGATTTTGCTATATGTAGCCTTAAAATGCACTGCACAAGTCTATATAAGCATTAACTATATAAATTGTGAATAGTTTTCCTTAGTTATTAGTGTTAGAGTATATAGAGTACATGATGATATACTCTAGTAGTACGTTCTACTTTGTTATTCTGATCTTACAATGCTCAATGAGAGTGATTGAGTTTTATTTTTTGTTTCACAAAATGATTCCACAAAAGAATAACAAAAATAAATGAGAGGGTATGGTATTATATTTATCATTAATGACCAAATTATTAGGTATGTACTAATGTACTAATAATGTTTTTAATGCTTATTATATACTCCGTATAATTGTAGCTAGGTATTTCAATTCTAATTATAGTTTTTATACCTAGCGCTAAATTATATTCCTTTATTATTACACATATACATAGGAGTATGTATATATAATTATACAGTTATACTAATAGTGTATACTGTATTTGATTAATTAATACAAGTAGTTTAATTTGATGACCTTCTCGTGGCATCTGACATACCGGTTGAGATTTGGTGGTCAAAGTTTATAACTCCCTCAGTCAGCACATTATTGGGACATAATCCACATGATTTGCATCTTTTCACGGCCACACTTTTTAGATGAAAGGCATGTCTTTTCTGACATTAAAATGTAGGAATGTGTAAGATTAATTTAATTAATTTAATACTAGATTCCAATTCTTAATTAGAAATGTATGTATGCAATACCAACTAGTACTTTAATATCACTAATTAATAGGCTTAGCTTACCACTTAGAGTAGGATATCAGGTTACTATCAATTATACTTTCCATCACATTATTATGCAATTATATATATGTTAATATGTATATTCAATAGCAAAAGTACAATAATGTTTACTTTTAATTGATCTTTATGCTTCTAAATTCTAATTATATTAGTCATACATGTAAGTTCATTATCCACAAATTGTATCCAGTTCTATCTACTTTTATTTGAAACTTGAAAGCATCATTAATTTCAACCCTTTATAAATAATCATATTTAATATGATCTTCTTAATATATGAAGTATTTTTTTATAATATTACTACACTTTTAATAATAAAAACCATCAAATTATAAATTTATAATATGCAAATGGAACTTCTGGATTAAAATCATTAATTAAATCTATTACATATAACCTCTTTTGAGTTGGGTCCTCTAGCATGATAGAATATTAACACAACACATATTTATATGTAATTAAATTTGCATTATATATACTCGTACTTTCAATGCCTTTCACCATTATACCTCGGTGTATAATATAAATAAAATGTCATTATATTATGTTTTATTCTCGACTATAAATTATTTTGTGAGTAAGTTGACAATACTATATTGTATATCATGAATCTGGTCGACCGACCTAGGCATTAACGAACCGCTGGGTCCTGAACTAGCTAGAGTTGGTACCCACTTGTTCCCTTATTATTTGGTCGTTTTGCATTAACATTTTTATTGCCAAAATATTGGATCCTTAACTTAACACCTCACCATATTATTATTTGTTGTTCAAACGTAAAGTATATACAGTCAATTACAACGTCGGAACGTCCCTTGGATCACTCATATTCAAACATGTTAGACTTAGACCCTAGATATGATGCTAATTATCAAAGCTCTTCTTATATCCATCTATCTATAAATATATTACACATTGAAGCTAAGATCATCCTGTTAAATAAAAAAAGTTATTATGATCTTGGCCCTATGACTAATATAATTATAAAATATAATTATAAATTGTAATTGAAATGGAGTATGTGAATAATATATACCGTAGAGATGTTGCAAGTTAATAAAAAAAAAAAAAAAAAAAAAATGGGAGGAGGAAGTATATTATCTATATTTATTTGTAATAATATTAAGAATAAATAGGTAGTATATATGAAGCTGTAAGTTGTTTTATAAGCGTTTGGCCAACTTGAGCACTAAGCTTGAGACACATTGCTTCTATGGATAAGTAATTGTCTTGATTGGGTATAACACTATAACTAATAATATAATTGCTTCAATAACTATTAAGGGACATGACATGAGGGCTTGGAATATCAAGAAACTAAAATCCTATAAATACAATTGAATCATACAAACCATTGCACATATCTCAAATGGCAACAGTACCATAAACATTCATTCTTATTATAACTATTATTAGCATGCAGTCCATTAATCTTATGGTTTGAACAAGAAAAAAAGAATGATCTTTTCATAGACTACAAAAATATTTCCTGATATAAACCACTTGATCTAATTATATATATTCCCACCAAATCATTGTACATCTCTACTTATTCTAAATTATGCATGCAACTTGGTTATAATTTTAATTATTTCAATCAAACCATCAAGCATCTTTCGATTAATTCAAATTAAACGACCTATTGCCTATTAATTATAAACCACTTAATTGATTATGCATCACTACCAATAAATCACTTGAGTAATCTCTATCAAGTTTCAAGTATCAACTATCAAAAAAATTAAAAGATGGTTGGAGCCACTCAAGAATATTTCCATGAAGCTTCCATTTTAAGCCCAGATGGCTCAATAAAGTTCCTTAGGGTGCCCGTGGTCCAAGAACTCGTACGGCATGGAGTCCAAAACGTACCAAAAGTGTTCCTTAGGCCACCATTAGACACCCTAAACACTGCCATCACTTGTGTGCCTGAGAATTTTCCATCCGTTAGTGTGGCCACATTACGCGGTAAGGATGTAGAGGAGAGAAATAATGAGCTACAAAAGCTGGCTGCCGGTCTTGAAGAATTCGGCATGGTATTGGTTAGTGACCATGGTATACCATTGTCTGGTGTTAAGGAAGTCATAAAGGGGTTTTTTAAGCTGTCTTTTGAAGAAAAAAAGAAAAATGTTGGGACGTATGCTAGTTTGGATAATATGGGTTATGGTAGAAATTTTGTTACTAAGACTCATGATAAGCCTCTTGATTGGATTGATCGTTTGACTATGAAAATATCTCCAAAAGAGTCAACGCATGCGCTCAATGTTTGGCCTCGAAAACCTGCTGATTTCAAGTACGTATCCTCCCTTATAATTTTAATTTTTTGATTTATTTACATGCCTAAAGTTCATTGATCTTATCATCACTTTATAATTTATATTTAAGACAATGGGTGTAATGACTTAGAATCGAGCTGAGGGTAACTTTTAAATGGTAAATGAACCAGAAAACTTTTAATTTTTAATGATTTTCATGAAGGTGACGTTTTGTATACACTTATCACGTCACCTCATATTCTACGATTGTATTATTACTATGAAACTACTAGTACGAAGTATAGATTTAGGGTTTAATTTAGTCCTAAGATGTGTTTTATGTAATTTACCAGGGAAGTTATTGAAAAGTATGCAGAGGAAGCAAAAAAATTGAGTGATGAAATACTCCAAGGATTAGCTGAAGCATTATCTGAAGAGAAAGATGTGTTTGTTAAATATTTTGACCCAAAAACAAGAGAAATCAATGTAAGAATAAACTATTATCCACCATGTCCAAAGCCCAAATCAAAAATGGGCCTAAGCCCACATTCGGATAGTTCTACCTTTACTATTCTCATGCAATTTGATACCTCTGGTGGTCTACAAGTTATGCACAAAGACAAGAAAGTTTGGCTAAGTGTTCCATGGCCTAGTGATGCGTTGCTACTAAGTGCTGGAGATGTTCTTGAGATAATGACTAATGGAAAGGTTAAAAGTTGTTGGCATAGGGCGGTTACGCAAGCTGATTTAGAGAGATACTCTTTGGCCTTGTTCTTTAATCCGCCATTGTCTATGGAAATCGAGCCTATTAAGAGTGATGGTTCGAGTGATTACGAGTATAAGAAGGTGGTCGTGGGTGATTATTTACAACATTATTATACGGTAAGTCAGACATCGCCAAAAGTGGCTATGAAATTTGCAATGGTCTAACATGATCAGCGCATCAATAGATTGGATGTACTAATAAGGTTGCAATACAAGGAGTGAACATCCAATTTCCTTTCAACATTTTTTTTTTATTGAACTCTGGCTTTCAGCTTATGAGGGTTTTTAAACCCTTGAGGTAATAAATGAATGAACTCTTTTGTTAAAGTTGGTTGTTTCTAGTGATATAATTGATGTTACATTTACCATTATTGATGTTGGTTGTTTATAGTAAAACATACGAAGTACTCCATATGTGACATGGCCAAAAAACGTATTCAAAACGGGGTTTTGTGGAAGCTCATGATCAACAAACAAAAAGCTACAAATAGAGCTCTTAATAATTGACGTACACAATAGAAGATTCAAAGTGAATTAATCCTGCATTGAACACAACATAGCCTTGTAAAACCCAAATACGATACGAGCATGATCCAACCTATTTAAAAATGACCCCAACTCGACCTTCACGCATGATTTGACAGATGTATTACAAATGGAATCGAGTCAAAACAATGTAGATCATGGGTTATACAAACCGTTCACCATAAGATTAGTTCTTGGCCACATATATCAAGTAGTCCATTATTGTTTTGGTCATCTATATTTTAAACAAGAAGAGATAAGATTTTTTTAAACCCCACATGATAACTACATGATTAGTAATCCCGGTAAAACCACTAAAGTCTTGTTCCGTTCATTTTAATACTCGTAATAAGTTCTAAGTTTGATTATTGCAGTTTATTTTACATTTATGCCTAAAATAAGTTCTAGTAATAAGATTGGATAAATTTAGATAATTTCAAATAAGTTTAGATATTAGATAGGATACATTAATTCAGAAAAGTAAGAGTTAGATGATTAGAATACATCATAACATAAACTACTATGGATATTTACTTAGTTAGAGATACTGCCCCCTCTCTTCCCCTTTCCTTTTTTTTAAATTTTTTTTTTTTTTTTTTTTTTTAAGTATCCCAATTTGACCTCTCATATCTGTATAACATCATATTGTTAGTTCAACTTGTAATCTCTTGCAAACTTTGAGAATTATGGATACTCAAGACTCTTTTCATGAAGCTTCCATTGTCAGTCAAGATGGCTCCCTAAGAGTCCTTAGAGTACCCGTGGTACAAGAACTTTCACGCCATGGTGTCCAAGATGTACCAAAAATGTTCCTTAGGCCACCCTCGGACACTCTAAGCACCGCGATCTCTTGTTTGCCGGAGAATTTTCCATCCATAAGTATGGCTAAATTACGCGCCAGTGAGGTGGAGGAGAGAAAAAATGAGCAACAAAAGTTGGCCGACGGTCTTAGAGAATATGGCATGGTATTGGTTAGGGAACATGGTATACCATTTTCTTTATTGTCTGCTGCTAAGGAAGTAATAAAGGGGTTTTTTAAGCTTTCATTTGAGGAAAAGAAAAGGTCCGTTGGAACATATGCTTCAGTAGATAATATGGGTTATGGTAGGAATTTTGTTAAGTCAGATGATAAACCTCTTGATTGGATTGATCGTTTGACTATGAAGGTAGCTCCTAAAGAATCAACTCAAGGGCTTAATGTTTGGCCTCAAAAACCTGCTAATTTCAGGTACATATCCTTACTCAAAATCGCGTATAATTGACATTCAACATATTGTTAAAGGTCGTGTGCCCTCCACTTGAGGTAATCTTGTTAACCGTAAAGCAATGATAATATGAGTGTGGCTAGCTTTTTTTTAACTGACAAATAGGGTGACTGTACACATATCTATAGTCGTCCAGAAATTTGTGTTATATCTTAATTTATCGGAACTTATATAAACTAACTGAATTCATTTGAATAGAGTTGGGCTAACCTAAGATTTGTTGTAATCAGGGAAGTTATTGAAAGGTATGCAGAGGAGGCAAGAAAACTGAGTGATGAAATACTCCAAGCACTAGCTGAAGCATTATCTCTTGAGAAAATTGCCTTTGTTAAATATTTAGACCCAAAAACAAGAGAGATTAATGTAAGAATCAACTATTACCCACCTTGTCCAAAGCCCAATTCAACAATAGGCTTAAGCCCACATACAGATGGTAGTGTCCTTACTCTTCTGATGCAATTTGATACTTCTGGTGGTCTCCAAGTTATGCACAAAGATAAGAAAATTTGGTTAAGTGTTCCATGGCCTACTGATGCATTACTAGTCAATGCTGGTGATTTTCTTGAGATAATGAGCAATGGAAAAGTCCAAAGTTCTTGGCATAGGGCTGTCACACAAGCTGATTCAGAACGATACTCTTTGGCATTGTTCTGTAATCCACCACTGTCAAAGGAAATCGAGCCTGTTAAGAGTGATGATTCGAGTGACTACGAGTATAAAAAGGTAGTTGTGAGTGATTATCTACAGCATTTTTATAAGGTAAGTCCAACATTGTCTAAAGTAGCTATCCAATATGCAATGGTCTAATGTGATCCATGTGTGTAAGCCCATTGAAAGTGATGAGCAGATGATGTGAGATTTACTGGTCAACTCAAACAGCTGATGTATATCTCAGTAATGTTTGTATTACTCTCTTTGATAATTAGCAGCTATGTACCCTTGGAATATACTCTGACCTAATTACTAATCAATCTATACCATGTTTATTGCAGAAGTTCAGTCTGTAAATCGTGATAATCTTGTCGTGTTATGAATACTTTCATGCTTAACTAATACTACAAAATTTCACTTTAAGTATCTGTAACTTTCCAATCATTATATTGAAATTGGTATGTAGCTATAACTTACATTCAAGCTATCAAAATCCTAGTCTACGATAAGCTTCAAATTTGCATAGATCAGGTATCAGCTGAAAACATGAATATTAACCTGTAGTATAAATAAGAAAATTATGTTAGTAATTAGGCTTCCTCAGCACAATGTATCTTCTCATATGTCGCCTTCATTTATAGTTGCATCTTCAATGAGCATCCATTTTTTACAGATACACTTCATAGTATCGTGCAGAACACGAAATGAACACATAGACCCAAAGCCATAATCTCCTCAGATTGCTTATTTTGTATTTAATATTCATCAGTCTGATTACACAGATGGAAAGTATTTGTTGAGTCCCCAAGGGAGAGAATAGAATTCTTCACTCCTAGTGTCTGCCTCATAGGATCTGAACTTTTTCCAAAAATGCCTACCACTGTCTTTTCGCGTATCAGCATGGCTACGGTGGAGAGTTATGTCCAAGAGCAATGCCAAGAGGCCTCCAACTGTTGCAGGAGATGTGAAAATCACTTGCACTATGCTGTTGAACTGTTACCAATGACGGAGTAGATCATTATAACATCTCAAATAGGCGATTAAGACACTAAAATAAGATGAATGTGATTTCAGTAAGATAATGATGTAAACTTACTGCCATAGATTTCGTGTTGACAGGAGTGTGACCAGAAACCAAGAGAACCTCATTGAAGTACTGTGGCACTGAAAGGCCCATGAAAAGCGAGAATCCTAGTATGAACTTTGTTCTGAAGCTGTTCAGGTTGCAGAACTGCAAAAATCCTAGCCCTGCTGAGACTGCATAGGAATTTTATTTTTCAGATTTTTCGACGAGTTTACTAACTAGAAAGAAAAAGAAATTCAACGTATGGAATTAGAGCATATAGCAAGTTGAACATCAGACCAACTTTTGATCATACTTAAACTACTATTTTTTTGTGTTGAAGATACTTACCAACATAAGCAAAAAGAATGCAGTACAGAGCTGCAAATATTGGTAGAGGTATTGAAGCTAGGAGTGCCCCAAATTTTCCTATTTGCAGGAAAGATATCATTACATAATCAGAAAACAAAGGAAAATTGAGCATTCATTTATTTAAGCTGAGTTAAGATAGCAATGATGATTTGAACCCACCAAAAATAGAAAAGAGAATCATGAAAATAGCTGCTATTTGAGCAACTCTGCGACTTCCAATCTGGTTGAGTCCCAGAAGTCCAGCATTCGCGCTGAAAACCAAAGAAGCAGAAAATTTTATAAAGTTTAGGTTGTTAAGCTCTAATAAATTCTTTGGAAGAAGCTCCAAGAATCCTCTGAAATATGCGATTTATCATATAATATTTGAAATTTCTGAATGAAACTTAGAGAAACTATATATTACACTGAGGCAGTTGGGCCACAAATTGCTCCAAACATGCCATTCAAAAAATGTCCTGCACCCTGTTGCCAATATCAAATTGAAGCTTATTAGACTGATAATAAGAAATTAAAATTTTGCGGGAATATAAGAGTGATACAATGAGATTAAAGCCTACCAGCCAGGCAATTCCACGGCTGACAATTGAAGGCGGCATTGGAGTGGCACTGCCATATCTTGCTACTGCAATAAATGTGCCTGTAGACTACAGTCAAAGACCAAGGTAGTAATATTCAGTGTTGATACTGAAGTATAATAGTACTTGATTTGTAAAGAGAGGAAAGTACGTAGGGGACTATAATAAGTAGTAAAAAAAACAAACAAACAAACCTCAACCATAGATACAAAAGCAGCAGCCATTACAGCAAAACCATTTGCCACATTCAAAGTTGGACGTCCCCATTGGAATGGATAAGGGACTCGTATCCTACACCAAATGATCACAAACATAATTATGAAATGGAATGAAACTTGGTGTGTTTTTACCTTGAGAGAATTACTCTAATGTGTATTGACTAAACAACTAACATAAGTAAATAAAGCATAATTTCTACGATTACAAATGAAGGATGAAATATTTTTGATTTGAAGAAAGTTTACTCACCAAGAAGCAGCACTGATAAGACCAGAACGATCAGTGCGACAATAAAACTGAGTGTTAGGGGAGTTGCGATTGAAAGCACCAGCTGCAGTCAGGACTGCAGCAAAAGCCCAGATAAGGGCAATTGTTGCTATTACAGCATATCGACGACATAAGGCTTGTAATGGTTTCAGCAAGCTAGCCATATACTGCAATAAAGTTGACATCACATCTTAGAGAAAAAGGCAATAAATTCTCTGTATATGTACAACAGCCTATAATTCAGGATGCCCCAATTCTTCTAGAAGTAAACCTATTTTTTCATGTGTTATCTGCTAGGAAAAGCTTTAGATAGGCAAGATTAATGTAATCCACTGCACCGACCTCAAAAATAAACTATGTTGTACCCATAACACGAGGATTGTCATGGGAGGACATGATGCTACTCACCTGGGAGATAAAAACCATGACAATGAGAGCTGGAAGTCCGACTCCAATGCATTTAGCCAGCTAGCATTACACATCAATACCAAAACATGTCAGCTTCGTTTATAATTAACTGAAGCAGGACAATAAATTAAGTAGGAAGTGTAACAATATAGGATTAATGATCAATCAACATGCTAAATAATCCGAGAATCCAACTTGACAAAGCAAAAACAATGACATATAATACCATTTTATATGAGAATTTGAAAATACCTGAGGGAAACCAAACTGGAATAAACCAAGTCCAGTTAGAGTAACAAGAGGAATAGCAGCAAGCGGACTTAAGATCCTACAACAGCAGACTTCTATGAGAAAGAGAGAGAGCAGGAATGACTATTGTAACAAGTTATCAGCTAATACATAACGCAAAATTAGCAACTTCTTACCTTATAACAATCCTCCAGAATCCCAAAACACCAATCACCACAGGAAGTATTGATGCAAACATTAATGCCCCTTGGAGTGCTCTCATTGATTGCACGAACCTCTACATGTACATTGGCGATATCTAGTAAGGACAATAAATGCTAACAAAAATTTGTTATAAGAGAACTGAAATGAAAAAGTTGATAGGATGCCAACCTCATGAGGATCAATGATCCTGCCAAAACGGTCAGAAAAGATTATGAAGATAGCAGGAATTACATATACATATGAACCTCCTATGACTACTGCTGTCCTACAACCAACAAAAGTCTGCATAAGGGTGTTCAGTCCCGATACAAGGAGCAAAGTCTGTATCACACGAGCCTTCTCTACCTGTCAAATTTTGAGTGAAACTTTCTAAGGAAGGATATTGATTAAATATAACACAATATAATTCAGATAATTGCAAAAGATATATACCGGTCCACCTCCCATTTGAGGAACAAGTATGGTTGTTATCATAATTGTAGTCCCAAGCATTACTAAAAAGTGCTGAAACCCAAGAATGATGGCTTCATCTGCATTTTCACAAAAGCCAAATTAGATTTATGAAGGCTTACAGAAAGAAAAAAAAAAAAAAAAGAAAAAAAAAGGGTGGGGGGTTGTAATGTGTAAGCTCTGGCATATTATGTACGCCTTGAACTCGAATGAGGACAAACATAGAAAATAAATGGCTATATGAGCTATATAGCAGCACAGAGAAACCTGTTTATAAAACCCAATAGACAATTTTTAAAAGATCAAATGAATTATCTTGAATCAAATGTTTTTTCTTATTGCCTTCAAAGAACCAAAGTGAGCTTTGTTAAGTGTTTTTTGCTAGGTTGGTGAAATAAAATCACAAGAAACTTAATTAAAAAAAGTTACCTTGTTTAATGTAAATGCTTAGAACTTTTTCTACCCCGTATAATAATTTCAGGCTATATCCTTAAATTTTTTTTTTCCTTTAAAAAGTGACAAAAAAACTGGATGGTAGAAAATAAGATTATTACTTTTCCTAATTGTCTCAGTTTTTCATAATTTTTTTTACATGATAAAATCAAGGAACATTCAACATATTACCAAAATATCATTTTTTTTTTAACTTTATTAACAAAAATTAAATCAATAACAACACATACAACTATACAAGTAAGTGAACACATATGAGTAACAAAACTACAGTATAACTTCACTCATTCATTCTAACAACCTTTAACCAATAAGCAATAGTAATTACTCAACAAAAATAATTAAACATGATAAAAGAAGTAAGCGCAGGAGAACTGAAGAAAGAGAACTGACGCCAAGGAGGATTGCTAGTGAGGCAAAAATCAACAGAGGAAAGTTGCTCCCTCACCGGAAATGGCCCGAGATTCTCTGCTTTAGGTGCAGCCATTGTTCTTTGTTAATCTTCTTAAGCTTAGATTGGCATATGCTTATTATAGCTTAATATACAAAGAAAAAGCAGAGTATAAAACAGGGGAGGTTGATAAGAAAATGCACATTAAGACCAAAAATACACAACTCTTAACTTAAATTCAAAAAAGGGGGTCATTTTCCTGAAGAATCATCATTGTTTAATTTAGCTAATTGTATATTAATAGAATTAGTAGGATAATTGTAGCTACTATAACTAACTCATTTTATAATGTATGTGTATATTGTATGATTGTAATGTTAATAAGAAAAAGACATAAAGCAAAGTAAAGAAGTTAGAAGCGGAAGGTAGGACTATATATCAGCTCCTTGACTGATTAAAACCTTGAGTGTGACACAAGGAATTTATTTTAGTAGGGAATTAGCTCGCCTTCTTCTCAACAAATATTTATTACTAGAAAAGAAGCCATTAAAAGTTTTGAAGAATTTGGGAAGGGAGGTTGGTACAAGTTAATCCTATACGCTTGGGTAAGGTAATTTTACGCTCTTCCTCGTATGTTTACGTTTACATCATATGGTGAGGAAAATGTAAAAGAATTAGCAACAACTTGAACTCGCATCAAACTTATAAGCCATATCCTAGAGAGAGGCAAAACAATACAGTGACGATGCATGATAATTTCTTTCATGTAACTCGGTGATTTAAGACTTGATGATGTCTACAAAGTAGCGATCAAAAATACTGTAAAATTACTGAAGTCATGTTTTTTCAACTGTTTTTTTTATCATAACTTATTTTAAATTATCGTATGGATTTAAAGCTATTTAAGTAATAGGCTCATTAAATAAACGAATAATAACAAAGTCAACAATCAATATAATGTGAGGCCAATATATCCTTTTGGGTAAAATTAAAAATACTACGTACAAGGTAAATCCCAACAGTGTAAAGGTAAAAACATTGACCTTTAATATTAGTTCTAGTAGTTCTATCATATTGAATATATACACTTACTCATAAACAAATTACTTCTTTCTTTAATTCCATAACTAATCATGCAATTCTACCATAATGAACTTTTAAGTCAATAACAAATCTAAACATTTTAAACTATGTGATTCTATACAACCAAACATCTTTTATTGGCTCAATATCAATGGTGATAAACTGATGATGTCTCCATTACGCAAAAAGACAAACTACAATACCATAGAGAAACCTACTACGAATTATATTTAAATATCACTGAGAGTGAGGGATAGCTCAAGTGGTTAGAGCTTCCCTCCCGATTCCAAGAGATCCTGGGATCAATTCTCACCCCTGCCCTTGTGGCTCTTTAAACACCAAAAAATATTTAAATATCACTAGCTCATCGCACAACGTAGCCGTTGATGCAAAGATCCCCAAATTTATTACTCTTCAATGGAAAATATGAGCATGGCTTAAGGAGTACATTGAGGACTTGTGCTAAGTGAAATTGATATGAAGCCATTTGTTAAGAATAAGAGTGTTCATGTTAAAGCTGACTTGCTAGGGTCTTTCTTGTATACACAATAATTTCATGTTGAGTGTTGAACTGGTTTGCTTTGGTCATCCCCTGTACACCGCAAAATAAACAAACTCACTTTAAAAAAATTATTAAAATGCAACAAAGATTAAATGCTCCGTATTACATATGGAGTCGGAGTACTATTAAAACTGTATCAATCATTTTAAATACTTCAGTACATAATACATTATATGGTCAAAGACAGGAAACAGAACAATGGTGCTGAACAAAAATAAGATGTGTTCAAGATGACATGACTACATCTAGCTCCTATTCTTGTCCTTAAATGTGAAAAATATATCAGCAAAAATAGAAATTTTGCAAACTATTAGAGTTGAAGTGAAATCAAGTATGTGGAAGCCTATAAATGATCATTACTATAACGTAAAATCAATTGAAAACAAAAAGAATATTGAACAACTGATGTACTGACCCTGTCTGAAAAGCTGGCCACCAAGGAATGAAGTTATCTATCCTTCCTCTGAATTCCTGACTTGCAGATTCAAACGCTTCAACAAAGCTCTTCGCTGGAGTTGATAATTCTGCACGTGAACCAGTTGTTTAATTTTAGGTGCAATGAGGATATGCTGAAACACAAACAATAGATTACATTTTGCGACAAAGGAACCAAAGGGTACTCACACTGAAAGATGTGATAATTCTGCACGTGAACCAGTTGATAATTCTGCACGTGAACCAGTTGTTTAATTTTAGGTGCAATGAGGATATGCTGAAACACAAACAATAGATTACATTTTGCGACAAAGGAACCAAAGGGTACTCACACTGAAAGATGAAAATTGGGGGACATGTGGAATCTTGAGCTAGTCTTCTGAACAGGCTCTTGGCATCTTTTCAGGCCTTGGCAATTTCTTATGTCAAGGATGACAAGGTTGTGCAATGCTCCAGGCAACGATGCTAATTGGTTACATCCATCTATAGAAAGAGATTGAAGAGAAGTTATCTGTTGAACTCCCTTAGGTAGACTCAGTAGCTTTGGAAGATTTTTCAACCCAAGTGACGAAGATTGGTGAGTGATCTCCAAGGCATATGATCATCCAGTTCTTCTAATTCATCAAGGTCCTGTAGGTAGAGCTCCTGCAAGGTGATGAGATGCTCCAAACCTCCTCCACACAAGCTCTTCAGTCTACTCCATCCCTGAATTTCCAAGCTACAAAGAGAGGGAAATAGGTGGTTCTGAAACATCTCTCTTACTATAAACAAATTTGTCAGACTCTCATTTTTTCCAAATCCGACGGTCAGGTGTTGTGAAATCCCTGTCCCATAGGACAAAAATGAATTTGATTCATCTGAACTAGAGCATAGAATCAACTTTTGTAAGCTTGTACTGAGAGGAATGGAAGTTTTTGATGTCCAAAAGAGAGAGACGAGGGAATTGATATGGTACTGGGCGTAAGAAAAATGGTCGATTTTGTTCATCATAGCTCAATTGCAAATCCATGTCTCCAGAAGAGCAGCGCTGCCATCCTTTTAACTCTGGCAAATTTATCAAATAAAGTGGTTCTAAGGGATGGAAAGAATGACATTGACTGATTGTCTGCCCAAGTGGTGCTCGGTCTAGATAATGCAGAAAAGGCTCCACTATCACCACCACCACTACTCTCTTCAATGTATTCCAAACTATCTAAGCTGTTAAGTTCAAGGATTGTCAGATGACGCAATCGACATAACAAAGGGATATGCTGCAACCTTTCACAAGAAAAAAGGGTGAGCTTAACAAGGACAGGAAGAGATGTCCTCAAGTCCTCTGATGACTCCCATTTTGGAAATGTCGTCCCCTCGTACCGTTTCAATGTTAAACATCTAACATTAGGATGGGGCTGAAGGCCTTCTAACAGTGCTGCAGATCCACCACTAATCTTTATACCCTTGAGATATTCCAATCCTCTGATGACATACTTGGCTTGAGTAAGCTTAGCATCATCATGAGCTGGATCAGTAGATATCACCACGATTTGAAGATTGCCTCTAAGGTTTGTAAGAACTTCCAAGTCTTCCAGCATACCTCTTCATGCAGGTGCAGTAGTATCAAAACACACAACAAACCTTGATAGACTTTGAAGGCAAATTAAGTTGCTCATTCCTGGTGGCATATGACTCAAATTGAAGCAATCATTAAGATCTAAGTGCCTTAGATTCACTAATTTTCTCAGGTTCTTCGGCAACTCTTTTAAGCTCCAACACTTCTTTAATTTTAAGGTCTGCATGTTAATTAGTTCACAAACTGTTTCAGGAAGAAACTGCAGCTCGTAACTATACGACAGGTCAAGGTATCTCAAATGAATAAGTTTATCTATTGTGCTGGGCAATGTTCGAATGCTCTTGTGACATAAACGCAAGACACGCAAGTATTTCTCCTTTGAAAATAGTTCTCTTGTGTCACTGTCAAAAACTTCTAAAGAGCCTTTTACATGCCCCAAAAGAAATAGAGTACGTAGCCGTTTCAGATCACCCATAGACCTCAGAATGCTTCCCATGTCAAGATGACCTAAAGATAGATGCCGATAATTTTTCTTCAATTGACCAGCAACAAAATTTATAATTTCTGTTTCTGCTACTTCTTGAGCCACTTCATGCATAAGATCATGGACTTTGCATGATACAATCTCACCAACATCATCTCTTTCAACATCTTGAAAGAAGCACCTTTGTAACAGGGTCATAAAATGTTCCTCTCCAGCTTCTTCAACACTTTGCCCATCTAAGGGTACAATGAAATGGTTTGTTATCCACAAGCTAATCAAAGTATCCTTTTCTATCCTATATTCCTTGGGGAACAAGGCACAATAACTAAAGCAGCTCTTCAATGACAAGGCAAGATGATGATAGCTCAGCTTCAGTATAGACAATATATCATTGTTATCCTCTTGCTTTATTTTTCTTAAGTCTAAGTCTCTAAATGACAGCCATGTGGATTTTCCCTGACCATAAAGAAGACTTCCAACAACTCTTATGGCAAGTGGAACGTTGCAGCACTTTTTAAGGATAAATTTTCCAATCTCAACAAGGCCCGTATCCATTCGGTCATCCTCTTTTTCAAACGCCATTTTCTCAAATAAATGCCACGAATCTTCCTCGGAGAGTCCCTTTAGATCATAAGTAGAACCGCCTCCCACGATTCTAGCCACCATGTTGGAACGTGTAGTCACCACAATTCTACTTCCTCTTTGCCCTTTAATCAATAAGTTCCTTAATTCAAGCCACTTGTGACGATTCTCATTCCATACATCATCTAAAACAAGAAAATACTTATTTTACAGATTATTCCTTGTACTAAACACCACAATTGGTCCATCTCAAGGTGGTCATACTTGTCATTTGTTGTTGAGCTTAAAATTTTATGAAGAATTACTTTAATATCAAATACAACGGAAACACAAATCCACAATCTTAATGGAAACTCACTCTTAATCCTCTCATCATTATAGACAAGTTAAGCAAGAGTAGTCTTCCCTAAACCATCAACCCCAACTATCGTGACAGTAAAAAGATTATCATGTAAACTAGAATCCATTAACATATCTATGATTGACTTATATTCCTCATCCCTCCCTATAAGATCCTCATTTACAAATGATTGAATGTCCTCCCTTCTCTTAACCATCATTCTTCCCACCGGGGAAGTAACTAGTGATAAGGAAGAAGAACCAAAGTCATGATGATCTTTGGCAATTTCATCCAAACTCTCCCTTATCTTCTTCACCTTGCAAGATGTTTTGTAACAAAAAGCTAAATGGTTGGAATGAGAAAAGAAAAGGCGTACCTCTTTGGCAATTTGATTGCCTGAGATAAGTTCTTTGCGTCGAGCTAAAGTGGCAACCTCGTCAAACAGGTCATCAGCTTCATATACAGTGTCCCTAAGTTTTTCCAGCCAATCATGTTCCACATTGCTTCTTCTTTGAACCTGTTGTCTCTCTCGCTCTTCTGCATCAAGGAGAATAGCAGTTATGGCAGTCATAGTGTCCTTCATCTTTGCAAGCTGGGATTTGAAACTCCAAACAGACGCAATTTTGTTTGCAGATGAAGAATCTAAAAGTTGGAGTAAAGCTTGCACTAGTGTCAGAAGTGATGCGACATCCATAATGTCTGATCTCTCCTAAGACTCCTTCTGTCCCAACTTTCTTATTCGAGCAAAATATAATGTTGTATTATAAATATGTTTAGCAGTTTAAACTAGTAAAGAGTAATTCTGAAACTTACAACATGTATATTAAGGTTCTTTACATACATAATGTGGTCTACAAAATCTACTCTGTAAAAAGAAATTAATTAAACCTTGGGCGGCTGTGAGACAAACCTATCAAACAATGTTGACTGCAGAATTGAATATGAGGATGCATTAGTTGAGAATGATTTAAAAATTAACTAGTAGCCCATCATCATCAATACCTTAATTAAAGAAGTACGTAGGAATTTGTGAGGCAGTTGAAGGATTCAGCCATTCAAGTTATAGCTGGTAAGTGGTAACCATGTTTTGCAATTTTGTAAATAATTCTTAAATCATTGTGAAACTCATACGAGTATCGTTTTCAAGAGGCATCTTACAGACAGTTACTCAAAACTTATCTATTTAATTTGAGACTTTCATAATATATGAGTATAGCTTATAGACATATTCCTCACAATGATTTATATGTATGTTCAGTAAGACCTTAGCTTCAGAAACAAGATATAGAAAAAATATATATATTGATATTAATTAGGAGGACAAGATTTTAGTGGAAGAGTATAACCGCGTAGCATAGATAATAAAGTCAAGGTTTGGTTTGGTGATTGGGTCATCAAACTAATTAACAATAAATATATTCGCGATCCCTCCTCCCCTTCATTCGTTTGACAGTTTTGTATTTCAGTTCGTGCATTTCTCCCGAATCCCAGAAGAAGGAAAAATGAGTTATTATCCTCCTCCACAAGGTTATACCTAGCTCTTTCTTTTATGTAAATAACGCACTTTATCTCATTTGATCATTCATCATCATAATATTGTAGTTGTATAGTGTAATAAATTCATACAAATTACTATCCTCCATTTAAAAGTAATTGACATGTAATAATTTGAACATCTACGCAACAATTACATTTAGACAGAGGCCGTGGTTTGTTTTGGTATTTACTGTGTTGAATTTGGTTAGGAGACAAGGGAGGATACCAACAACAAGGGTATCCAGGTCAAGGATATGGAGGATACCCACCACCACCACAAGGGTACCCTCCACCACAGTATCCTCAACCTCAGTATGTTCAGCCTCCTCCTCAGCAGCAGAGTCAGAGTGGTGGCGGTGGTGGTTTCATGAAAGGATGGTATAGTACTCCTCTCTTTATCCCTCTATCTTAATACTCTGCATATGAAAACAAAATCGTAGTTCTCCCTTCTTTATTTCTATTATACTCCAAACTCCATTTATAAATAGAATAACTCCCTACTTGCATAAGTAAACTGTAATAACATTACTTCATTTATACATCCAAAAATTGTCTATGATTTACTTTCATAGATGCATATCATATATTTACTTCATTAACTTTACTTGTTTGATCACCTGGTTACATATTGGTGATGTATAATAAAATCTCATATTGGCTAGTTTGTTGATATGATAAAAAAATAATTAAAATAATAATATAGTTTATAAAAAAATAAAAATAAAAAGGAAATAGCCAAAAAGTATAAGTTGTTTGTATCAAAAATATCATTTGGACTTAAAATTGGCTTCATAGCCAATGGGAAACAATCATCTACTTATCAAAAAAAGTAAATAATTATAGCCAATGAAAAGTAAGGTCACAAATTTAAATTTTATGGCCAAATTATAGCAATAAGACTTGCGTGGACCTGGTCCACAATATTATTGTGGACCCGAGGTCTATACACACGCAACTGACTTTATATTGAACATAGTGACCATTATTTTTAACATAGTAACCTTATTTTAAACCTAGTAACCTTTATTAAAACTACTCACGTTTAATAATATTGTGAACTTGAAATACGACGCTATTACCCTAATTTTAACATAGTGGCCTTTATTATTCATATTGATCGGTATATAAAATATTTCATTACAAAAATAACCACTTAGGCCTATATATTACCAAAATGATTTTTATTTCAATATAGTGACTTTTTTTTTAATTATAGTGACCCTTTTTTTTATTAATAAAACAACCATACTTTCTCTAATGTTAGTGGTCCACAATAAATTAGTGTGAACCAGGTCCATTTAAGAATTTGTAAAATTATAGAGTTAGAGGGGAAAAAAAAGCTCAAAAACATTTTCCAAATAAATCCCAAAGTCTACTAAGAATAACTAAATTCAATTTAAAGTTAATTAACAAAAATACGTAATAAATTAACAATTGAAGACCACATTTAATAAAAAGTTATCTATTTATTTACAAAAAAAAGTCACTTGATTTACAAATTTTGTTAATATACTACTGTAGATGAAATGTACAAACCCATTTGCATTATTTTTTAACTGTATAATCTTTGTTTCACCTTGATCCTCATCATGTGAAGTTTCTTATTGCAATTGATCATAAACAAAGATAGTATAACATGTGATCATCTTCATAATATAAAATATATATTTTCAAAGTATGGACTTTCTATATTTAAAGTAATATGGAATTCAAGTAATGGAATTCAAGCAACAATTTACCTTATGGACCATGGGCTCTGGACTCTGGTGAATAGAGTTTTGGGGAAACTTGAGCGGATTGGGGCCATTTATCAGCTGTTTGACCATGCTTTGCCCGGTCAAACCGCTAAATAAACCTGTACAGCAGAATCAAAAAGCGATTAAGCCCCAAGAATTGGGAAGATATACCCATTTCGTTAAACCCTATTAATTAAATAATTAGACAATGAAATTCCTCAACTCCATACCTAATAAATTAGTTTGCATGTGAATTTGGAGGAAGAAATTAAAATTTAAAAAAAAAAAGGAAGAACTGGCTTACAGACTTACACAAGGAAGACGATGGAGAAAAATGCCTCAAGGATGTTTAGGATTTACCAAGGAAAAATAAAAACAATACTTGATCGACTTTGCAATTACGGACTAGTCAGCTACCGAGTCATTTTAGATGTACTCGTACGGGGCGTTTGGTAAGAAGAATGGATTAAGTGGGGTAAAAAGGTAAGATAAGGAGGTAGAATTAATATATGAGATAAGGATAAAATAATGTATTCCATTGTTTGGATTGGGTTGGGATTAAATTGGAATAAGACTCTGTTCTCTTCACTTAAAAAATAATATTAAGTAAAAATAATTTCAATTCAGTAAAAATAATTTTAGTTCAATAAAATTAATTTCAGTTTAGTAAAAATAAGTTCATTTCAGTAAAATTCAGTTTTCTTAAAAAAGAATTATAATAGAAAATCTGTAAAAATAATTTCAGTTCAACAAAAATAATTTCAGTTCAGTAACATTAATTTAAGTTCAGTAAAAATAATTTAAGTTTAGCAAAATTAATTTCAGTTCAGTAAAAATAATTTCAGTTCAGCAAAATTAAGGTGAATAGAACGGGGCCTAAATAATAAAAATACACAATTACCCTTACTATCCTTTGTTCACTCTCTTTTTTCCTTTTCTTTCATTAAGGGTAGAAATGTCTTTTACTCCTTAAATTTAATCTCCGTCCCTTATACCACCCCCTCTTAGGGTCTGTTCTCATTAACTGAACTCAGCTGAACTGAACTGAAATGAGCTGAACTGAACTGAACTGAAATGAATATTTTATAAGAGAAGGAAATTAGGAGCTGAACTAAACTGAATTGAACTGAGCTGAGCTGAGTTGAACTGAACTGAATTTCAACATATGAGAATAGACCCTTAGTTATTAATTTGGAGGGATAACTCCCTTTCTTATTCTCATCCTAAACCCCCCCCCCCCTCATAATCCCCATCCCTCTAAACAAACAAAAGACTTTTTAAATCCCTCCTCTTTTATCCTATTCCCCCTCTTTTATCCCTCTAAACAAACACCCCCGTAATTCACAAACATCCTAGTGTAGTAGTGTGTAGTCTATAAGGGGGCGTGAGGTAACAAATTAGGACTAACTATTACTCTTAAGTATTGGTAATTGTTAACATGCCTTCAAATAAACCAAACACACGGTAACGATATCGGTTTAATCGAATTCGTTTCCAATCCAAAAAAATATACTAACCAAATGCCCTTTAAGTCTATTGTAGTAAAATCTCATTCTAAATTTGTGATTTTCCCATCTTAAAAAAAGTTTTAGGTATGAGTAATTTTTATGAATTTGTATTGGACAATTATATTTTTTAAATTTAAATGTGTTTATTTACTTATTTTTCTTTATTAATGTTAATTGTCTGTCAAAGTGTAACATTAAAAAAAAAACACGAAAGGAACATGTATATATATTTTTTTTAAATTAGCAATTGTAGATATTTATCACTAACTCTAATTTGTTTTCTTAATTTGTAGTTTGGCTGTTCTTTGTTGTTGCTGCCTTATGGATGCGTGCTTTTAATACCAAACTTGATGACTTTGATTGACTCAACATCGTTGTGATTCTACAATTGGGGATATATTTACGAGCTTGCGAATTATATACTTATGCACAATTTACATATTACGTATTGTTATGTAGACTTAACAATCGTCCTCCAAATTAATGTAATATTTTATCTATATCTTATGTATATTGGATATTTGACTTGGAAATTTCTACTCTCATTTAGTTGCGACATTGTGCAATCAATCAATTTGTCAATTTGCTTGTTTTCTTACTTTTTTTTTTATTTTTAATTCATGGTTGTCATCTTTTGTGAGCAATTGACAAATCATACAAGTATTACATTTAACCAAGTAGAATTAATTAAAACTTATCCCTTGGTCAGAATTAATTAAAAAGTTGTAATTAAAAATAACATAAATTGGAAGCCCTAATTACGTTATATAATTAATTAAAACTTATCCCTTGGTCAGAATGGTGACTCACTTATTATAATTGGTTTCAACAACAATTAAGAGGGAAAATACTAGTAGTTGATGAGAGTATGTACGTAATATTGTGATGACAAAATAAATTAAAGTACAAGGATAGAACAAACCGTAGAAGCAAGCGTGTTTGACCGTGTTCAATTCTAACAAAGATATAGTCAAGGTTTGGGTCGTCGTTAATTAATTTAATTAACAATAATGAAAACCCCTCTCCCTACTTAATTAATCAGATGAAGCACTTAAATTAATTGTCTTGGATCTTCTTAATTGCTCTCCAACAAGAAAGGTCAAAAAAAGGGGCAAAATAAAAATGAGTTTTCATCATGAACACCCTCCTCCTCAAGAAGGTATGTAGGTCAACCCTCCTCTTTTTTCTTGTCAATTTACTACTCATCACGCACCTCTTTTTTTAATCTCGTGCATGCATATTTTGTTGTTTTTGCATTATTGATCTGATCACTTTCTAAGCTTTTTTTTCATCTTTAAGCTCATTAATTTAAGCCTTTTAATTAATTTTAATTGTGTTTACTTGGCAGAAAGCACGACAGTATATCCGCCACAACAAGGCGGATATCCTGCGATACAAGGGTACGGAGGCTACACGGCGCAACAAGGGTATCCGGCGGGGCAAGTATACCCAGCGGCAGGGACACTGACACTACAACAAGGGTATCCGGGGCTAGGATACCCACCGCAACAAGGGTACCTAGGACAAGGATATGGTGTATACCCACCAGGTTATGTGTACCCGACTCCACCATATACCCCTCAACTCACGTATGTGCAGCCACCTCCTCCTCAGCAGCTCAATAATCATATTAGTAGTCGTGGATTTATCAAAAGATGGCGCTACTGCTGGTCGTGGTGCTACCGTTGTGCAGGAAGTTGTTAATACTCAGCTCCCTATAGTAATCATCATCAGGTAATTGGTTCATCATTTTTCAACTGCAAAATCTATAACCTAGGCTTATAAGCATGCATTTATTAATTTTGAAATATATGAATGATTATATTCAATTGAATATATGTATTAATTAATTATATCCATTATCACATAATATACTAGTAATATTGGATATATTTACTGAACAATTATAGTATTAATTAATTACATGCAGTATAACAAAAAGGGAAAATCCCTGTTTCTCATGGGGCATTTTCGTGAATAAATCAACAACTTTTTCATTATTGTGGGCTCCACAATTGAATAAAGTTGTTGATTTATTTACGAAAATGGCATGTGAGAAACAAAATTTGTTTCTCACAATGAGAAACTGGGGCATCCTCATAACAAAAATGGTTGGATCGATGGATGTATATATCATGTATGCATCACAAATAGTAACCATTTGGATGCAATGATGCATGACTACGATATTAATATTTTGTATGAGGGTGTACTGTGAATGATACATGTATGACATACATCTTACGGGCTTACCCTAGATAGGTGCTCAACAGGTAATTGTATAATTATATACAAAGACATAAAATTGTATTGCAAGTTAATCACATAAGTATTTTCTTTGAAATGGTATTAAATATAAAGATTTTTTTTTCTGTATTATTAGTACTTGCCAAATACATATAACATATCACCGCATCACCCATTATATTTTGTCAACGTAATTGACTTGAATGTTTTCATTTGCAGCTTGCATTGGCTGCAGTTCAATTCGTTGTTGATGTACGTCTTCTAGATGAATGCATGGCTCACTCGATGGTTATCAGCTAGCTAGCATACTGATGATGACTTTGAAAGGCTTAACATTATAATAATGTTGCCATAGATACAACCATACCATGTGTGAACCGTACCGTAGGATTTATATATATATAGGTATATCCACGTATTTATATTGGAGATGATATCAATTGATATCATCTTCCTCCATACCAGTGCTGATATTAAGCAACAGCATTTCATATCTCCAATATTGTGTACGTGTACTCTTAAATGTGTACATTTTTCAATTGGAATGAATCTATGAAATTACATTCAGGGGTGTCAACCCCATGATAGATAGGCCAATAGAAATCTATCATTTTTATCATTCTTTTGTGATACTAAAACAATTTTTGATAAATATATTATAAATACAAGATTAATGGCCAATATAATGCATTGATAAATTAAATGTAAAAGTCAAAACAAAGGTCAATTACGCCTTACTGTCAGACACGAATATAACATACTCAGCACAAATTAATGAAAATTTTAAGGTACATGCGATTGTACCATGCTTGTTACAGACAAAAAAAAAAGCAAAAATAACATATAACTGTTTTGTAAAAAATATACCGTTATTTTGTAAGGACCATATAGCTATTTTGTAAATGACATCAAGTTTAATGTTTTTTTTTTTTTAAAAAAAAATATCTACATAACATCAAGTTTTATGTTAATAATGGTCCGGTATATCTTGATATCTTCTGTTATAATCATTAATGGGTATGTCTTGATATCTCGATCTATTGATATCCTCTGTGTTATAATTGTAAATGGGTATGTCTTGATATCTCAATTGATATCTTCTGTATTATAATTGTTAATGGGTATATCTTGATATTACAATTGATATCTTCTGTTACAATTATTGTTAATGGGTATGTCTTGATATCTCCATTGATATCAAATTAAAGTGTTGGAAAAGACCATTATAAATTGTAGATAGCAATCAACTTTAAAAAATATGAAATACACAGTATAATAAAAAGTGAAAAACTAAAAAGCAAGAGATAGAATGAAGTCCATTATGTATGAAGAAGTATGATATCCGCGTAGAAACCGTGGTCGTAACTCGTAATTAGTTAAATACATCACAATCTTCGTCCTCCATTTATATTATTTTACACAGCTGACCAAAAATGAGTAACTACCCTCCTCCTCAAGGTAATTATTAAACTATTTTAGAAAAATATGAAATTTATCATTTATTATTTAATTACTACGTTAGTTTGATCCCTTTTTTTTTTAACGTTAGTTTGACCTTGAATATGGCAGACAGATGTCAAACTATAGTATCCCTTCAGATATTATTATATATACTACATTACTACTATATTAACTTTTTTTTATATGCAGTTTGGCTGCTCTTTGCTGTTGCTGCGTTTTGGAAGAGTGCTGTGATTTTTGAGACCATACTTGTGTCTCCGGAAGCTTAATATTGTTATGATTTACATGCTAAAGAATCCTCTTAACTATGAAAAAATATACATCGATCTAGGCTATATTGTAAATTATCTATAACAAATTAATTAAAATAACCTTCATCTTTCAATTACAAATTTACAATTGTTTAGTTGGTTTAATTTAGTCTAGCCTTATTGCTTTGCGTTTGTTCAATCTTATTTTTAACTCTTTGATTGAGTACCAAACTATGATTATCCAAAGAGCTAGCTGCTAAATGTTACTCAGCTTTTGTTGATTATTGTACTGTGTGTTTTGCAATCGACAACTTATTCAATTGAATAGTACATAGTATAGCTTTACTAAGCTAATTAATGAATTCAATAATGTTTTCCATCCTGCTTTAATTTTAAATCTACTAGTAAGTTAATTCAGACTAACACATATAAGATTTTGTCGTACATATTAACCAACATTATTAACTTAACATAGTATTATCAACAAATAAATCTTTGAATACACATTACATAAAAAGTAAAAAGGAAACAACTGCAAACAAAAAAAAGGACAATACGTAGTTTAAATTAGAAGTAGTAAAAAGACAAAATCTTCTATTGTCTATTTGTCTCTATACATCATATTGTTCTGTATGAAATATAAAGCTAAATAATCTTACGTGTTAATTTGTATCTATTGGTAACTTATTATCCACGACTCTATACTTATTATTAGTTGGACTAATTCAAACATAATCCAATTAGTTGTTGTATTGAATTAAATAAAAAAGATGACATTCACATACTTGTGTTGAGATTTGGTAGGGTAGGTTCAACTGATTTGATCCCAAAACTTAAGTTTTCTTATCCTCTAAGTATCATAAGCTAGGGAATGACATTATACACATTTTGAAGGTGACTACAAAGAGGGGTAACATAATCACAAGTTCACAACAAAATAAAATGGAGAGTTCACTTTATTTACTACCACGGAGTAACTACGAGTACATATTTAGATACAAGTAACATTGCAGCAGGCAGTATTTTGTTACTTTAAATGTGTTAACAGTAGTATAACATTGATTTTCATATAAACATGCATGGTACATTAATACTTAAAATACAAATTGTTGCAATTTTAAGATATGGAAAAAGTATTTTACCGAGTAGAGAAAAAGAAAGCAAAAGACAACTTTAAAACAATTAATCGAATATACTCGATTTGTACAAGTACAACATCATGTCGTTTGTCGAAAGAGTCCAAATCATAGGAAGACTAACCGCGTAAAAACGTTTCTTCAAATATTTTTTTTTTAAAAAAAACGGCGTAGAAAACGTGGTAGTATGTACCTCGTATTCTCGTTAAATAGAAAGACCTCGTTGGCTGTCTATCTTAACAGTTAGTACAATCACAAAAACAAGAAGAATAAGAGCGGCGTAGTGAGGCAGAATCAAAGAAAATGAGTTATCCTCCTCCTCAAGGTTACATATCTTATTTTGTGTATTCATCATCTTCCATTCTTTCATTCATTCATTTATGTTATGGATCAGAGTATTAACATAATTTATATTCTTGATTATATATATTATTGGCTTTATTACGTTATTTATTACTTACTAATTATTTATCGGATTGGTTAAGGTTACCCTCCTCCAAATCAAGGTTACCCGCCACAAGGGTACCCACCACCTCCAATGGGCGGTTACCCTCCTCCGCAATATGCTGCCCCGCCACCACATCCTCCACAAGAGCAGAAGAAGCAAGTTGGTTGCTTGGAAGGATGGTACGTAACCAACTCTACTCCCATCTTCCTCTCTCTTTTATGTACTTCAATTCGCATTAGATTATGTTTCAATTTCTTATCACATATTAATTCTTTTCTCATACATAAATCATAGAATATGTTTATTTTTTCGCGAATTTTTGTTACTCACTTTTTTTTTTAATTATTATCCGCAGTTTGGCTGCTCTCTGCTGCTGTTGCATTTTGGATGCTTGCTTCGATTGTTTTTAACAAGCATGCTGGATTATTTATATTGCTTTTGAATCTCGGCCCATAACAAAAGGACAGAAGATCTAGTTTATTTTGTAGTGAATTCTTTAGATCTTTCACTTGGAATTTAATTACTCTATTTGATTTTGATGTGTTGTCATTTTTTTTTTCCTATGTGAGCATGATTACTGCTTTTGACCTAATATCTTGATCTATTATCGATTATTCATGTTGATGCAGCAAGAGTATGAGTATCAATTTTTGCAATTAATAACTTTGCTAGAGTATAAACCCTTAATAGATCCTAATTATATTTCAAGGTATCCTACAACAAAAGAAGTTTACTTACAAGCAATATACCTAGTACTTGTATATAACAAAGATGCAGAAGAAACTTTCAGCAGGAAACAAGTACACAATTTCTCACTTGAACCAGATCAATATAATAAAAGATTATCGTGTTCCTGAACCTTATGAATCCTACAATTTACTCTGAAGCCAACTTAGAAAACACCATAAACCAATTTGTACCTCTAGAAACCAGCATATACATAGAGGGATCAAAAAGGGGCTAATGTGCTATATGCCTATATATATACTGATCTAACTCATCTAAGCAACATTTGAGCAAACACCCCGTCTTCAAAGATTACTCCTAACTAATCAAATGACGACAAGAATTTAAAATATGAACACACTCCCCTCCATGGAGATCTGCATTCTGAATAGCTTCAATACAGGCCTTATTGTCTATTTGAACCATTAGCATTGTAATTCCCAACTCAGCAGCCATTTTGAGTCCCAATTCCAGAGATAGGAACTCAGCTCTATAAGCATTGCACACACCAAAGTTTGCTGCAAGACTTCTAATGAATTGCCCTGAAGTGTCATGAAGGATACCCCCCCCCCCCTCCCCCCCTCTCTCTTCTGCTGGACTGGGAGCTCCTCAGTAGGGGATTGCCACTTAACATAAATGTCATGTTTCCTGAGATCATCAGGTGCTAAGTGCTATCCCTATTCTGCCAGATGACACCTCAGATAAGGTATTCCAATTTTCTTCAGTACGTGCTCTCAAGCAGGGGAACCAGTATCCAAAAGGATGGTCTCATTAGCACCAAACAAACTATTATTGTGCCATCTCAGTGATACTTTGTAATTAAGTATATGTAATCAAAGTAGTAAATATTAAAATCCCCCAGGAACGAGAGCACACAGTGCTGAGTGATTCAATATTGTTCAGTTTTCTGTCCCCTCAAAGCTTCAAGAGTTCGAAACAGTAGACAGCCATTATGACACCAATGGAATTCAACCTTAAATGAAGCAGGATCTGTCGCTCCCACATACATAATATCTCGAGTTGAAATAACCTAACTACCTAAGTCCCAGTTAGCATGATGGAACAGAAATTATAGGACTAAGGAATAGTTCAATCATTTCCTTGAGCAACTCTTAATGTATCAAAAAAGCCCCCGAAATTGAGATGCCTGAAAGCTATGATCAGAAAAAACAAAAGCTTTTGTTCTGGAGTTCTGTCATCATCAATCCACATACCAATATCTTTGGCCAAACAACCAACTCACCACACCATCCAGTTCAACCCATCAAAACTTTTTACCCCAACCTTGGTTGAAGATCCCTCTGAGACAGTATGGACTTCAGCAATCTGCAATCTACAAATTCATCCAATATGCTTTCATAATTTAAAGTGCCGAGGAAGGGATCCACGTTTACTCTGCAATTGCAGAATCTCCCTAGCAAAAGCTTGGTTTCCTGTCACCAAAAGCCCATTCAGAACACGATTGTAGATAAACTTTGTAGGAAGAAACCCTCTTTCCACCATCTCAATCAACAGCCTACCTGCAACAACCAAATCCTCTGATTTCTTCCTCACAAAAGTGGAACCTATCAAGATATTGTAAGTATCTTTATTTGGCAAGCACCTCCAAGAACCCATCAAATCAAATACATCCAAACCTTGCTCAATATCCCCAGCATCACAATAGTACCTAATTAACAAATTACAAGTCTGAACATTTGGATGACATCCATCATTCTTCATCAACTCAACAAACTCCATCGCCCTATCCATCTGCCCCGCGTGACACAACCCTCTAATCAACAAATTATAAGTCACTGGATTAGCTACATAACCCTTCCTCCCCATCTCCTCAAATAAAACAATGGCATTCTCAACACTATCCTTCTTACACAATACCTGGATCATAGCATTATAAGTGGCAACATTCGGAAGAACCCCTTCTCCCACCATCTCATCAAACCACCTCCTAGCTTTGGAAACCTCCCCTAAAACCCCAAACCCATGAATTAAAGTAGTGTAAGTAACCACATCAATCTCACGATCTCTCTTCTTCATCTCTTTGAAAAACTCCCACGCCTCTTTCGTTTGCCCGGTTCGAAAATACCCTTTCAAGATTATGTTATAGGTAGTCAATGTAGGATTCAAACCCCTCTCCACCATCTCCTTCAACACCTCCAAAGCTCTAGGAATCCTTTTAATCAAACACCACCCATTTGCAATTATATTATAACTAACAACATCAACCCCAAATCTACCCTTAAACAGCTTAAACAAATTATGCGCTTTTTCAACCCTTTTCGATTTACAAAGTATATCCAACAAAGTATTAAACGAATTCAAATCTTGTGAACAGCCATGTTTATGCATTGACAAGAAAATATCAATAGCTTTATCAGGTTTCCCAGAGAGAACATACCTTTCGATAATAATGGCGAAGGTTAATGGCGTGGGACCCAATCGGCGAGAACGAAGGCGGGATACGAGTGTCCAGAGAGTTGTGATGTCGCGTAAACGAGCAGAAATGTCAATGGCGTGGTGGAAGGAGGAGAGAGAGTGGGCGTAATCGAGGTGATTGTCGAGAATGGTGAAGAATTGGAGGGCTTTGGGGCCATGATTCCAGAGGAGTTTAAGGGTTTGATTGACAAGGGGTTCGGAGAAAGTGAAATCTGGAGATGATAAGAGGGTTTTTGAGAGAGTTTTGGGGTCTTCTGTGGTGAGGACGAGATTGGCTATGGCGGTTGCGGCGGAGGAGAGAGAATTTGACGGTGGAGTTATGGCGGAGTTGGTGGTGGTGGTGGTGGAGACGGGTCTGAGGAGTGGGAGTTTATGGAGTTGCATTGGTTTTGTTTGCAGTTGAGCCGATATCATGTTTGTGTGAGTTGGTGGTAACTTGGGTTGAGACGGAACGGGTCGGTCATGTCATTTTCGAGTAGGTGAGACTGGGTTGGAAAAATAACGGGTATTTGTGACGGCCATATGTACTATGTAGGGTCGTAGGGTTGCTCGAACGAGTTGATCGCGAGCTTAGAGATGTTCGACTTGACTCGAAAACTTTTCTCAACTTGTGCTCGTTAAAGTTTGAGTTGATAAAATTTACTCGATTAGTGATCGTTAAAGTTTTGAATTGAGTAGCTCATAATCGGCTCATTAAAGTTTTGATATTTTTAAAGTTATATAATATATCTTTACTAGATGAAGCCCGTGCGATGCACGGTTTGTTTGAATTTTTTAAAATAATAGTTTTACATATATATTTATGTGATAAAAATTGTTAAATGTTTAGATAAAATTCCTGATATTAAAAGATAATATTTTATATTTAATTAATTAAAACTGGATTATCTCATTCACCAATTTTGCTTACGTGTCAGTCAAATTATTTAATTCTAAAAAAAATTAATAATCTCATATTTAATTGGCTACCACTAAAATTTATTATCCTACGTGTCACGCTGAAAAAATTAAATCCTACGTGGCTCTCTAAAAACTCGGGAAAAAAACTCCCCTTTATATATATATATTAGATTTATTTTATCTTTTCACTTTATATAGTTTTTCTTTTTTTTATTTATTTATTATTTAAAATTTACTATTTTTTTCATAATATAATTAACTCTTAAGTGTCAAAAAATTTTATACATGGTAACTTTGTTTGTAAATCATATATTTTAATATAATTTATTATCAAGTTGCTCAAGGGCTTGTCGAGTCAAGTTAGAGCTTGCTCAATTTGTGCTCGTTAACATCTCAAGTCGAGCCAAATCGGGCTGAGTTTTGACTGAATCAAGTTCAAGTTGCTTGCGAGTTGCTCAACTCGATTAGCACTCCTACGTGTATATTTGAATTAAGATCCATTTAAATTTGGAGGAAAGAGTCCAAACAAATTTGTTCTGAATAATTGTGGTTTTACTTCTAACGTCACTAACTCACACAAGTGACAAGTATAAAGTAAAAGAGAATAGGTTGATACAAAAATATAGAATTATTGAGTTATTAATGATACATAGATATAATCGACAAATCTTAATGGCTAAGCATATTGAAATATTTATTAATAATTAATAATAAAGAAAGCAAAAACTAAATTAGGCAAATATAATTAGTAAGAATTTTAGTGGTAGCAAAATAGCAATTGAGAAAAAGGCCTGAAAAGGAAAATGCAAGTAAGATAGGAAAAGCCAAGGTAAAAGGTATAGAAGCAAAGTATAGAATAGAACTCTAGAAGGTATAAACGCGTTGACAACGTAGGCTGCAAAACCCAACAACACAAGGAGTGTATGTAAGTGGATATCATGTGAGACCAGTTAAGTAATTGCATCACATGACCCAATTGTATTTCAATAACCCCTCTCTCTCTCTCTCTCTCCCCTCAGTCCTCATATAAATAAACCCCCTTCTCTTATTTCATCCTCTCGAAGAAAGCCCTTTAATCAAATTCCCATAATATTTCTCGTTTTCTTTCTCATCTCTCAGACAATCATTAACACATTACACTCATCCAAACCATGAGTTACTACAATCAACAACAACCCCCCGTTGGCGTTCCTCCTCCTCAAGGTTTCTCTATTTCTTTTTCTCCGATTTTGTTTTCTTTCTTTTTTAAAAAAGAAAAATAAATTATAATTGAGATTGATCTTGAATTATCTGGAAAATTGAAACAGGTTACCCACCAGAAGGATACCCGAAAGACGCGTACCCACCACCAGGATACCCAGCGCAAGGATACCAACAACAAGGGTACCCTCCACCCGGAGGATACCCGCAACAAGGATATCCTCCCCAACAATACGCCCCTCAGTACGCTCAGCCGCCTCCTCAACAACAACAACAGAGTGTTGGTTTCATGGAAGGATGGTAATTTCCTTTTTTTTTTTAAATATCTTTAGATCTGAATCCAATCGATCTGTTTTTCTTATCCCTGTAAATTTTTTTAAAAAAAAAAAATTAAAAAATTTGATGGAGAGCGGTTCAATGAGTTGGACTGGACTTGGAGGTTTTTGCAAGTCTCCGTTTATTTTGGTTGGTTTGTTGAGTTTTTTTTTTAATTACTCGTATATTATTCAATATTTGCTGTAATTGGAATTAACGTGAGGGTATTTTCGGGAGTTTATTTGTTGACATAAATATTCAGATATTTTGACGTCCAAGATACTACTAGTATTATAATGCCAGAACTGTCAGCTTTCTTCGATACACATTTTTTTGGACCACCTTCGTTCACCCTTACTACTACTCGTATTATCTTAACCAGCTTTGAAATTGTGAATCTACATATCAGTGTCAATTTTCTAAATTCTAAGGTTTTTATTTTATTAATTACAAGTTTTGCTATAAATTGAATCGGCCAATGCTCCTGTGGAATGATAATAATAGCATGTATAGATTGATTCAACGGAGTGTCACTGATGATGAAATTTGTTATTCGTGTGTAATGCATTCTTATGTAATGGATTACTGCTAGCATGTCATATAAGATATAACCACTTTTGAGATCTCTGTTTCATGTAAATGTTTTCGTGTTTTGATGGATTTGTATTATGATTATGTTTTACTTCACCTCATTCCCCGTTCATCTAGGATTTATTCGTTATCGTTAAACGGATCCAGTGCTTATACAGGCTTTTAAAATATGCTGGGTCTTTTTTCGTGTCATGTGGATTCAGTGCTTATTTATGCTTTAAAAAACGCTGTGTCTTTTTACAACTGGCCTTCTTATAATTGTGCTCTAAAGTTTAACACAAGTAATCATTAAATAGTACAAAGGTTTATTCTTTTGCTGTTTAGCTTTGGTGGAAGTCTGTTTTGATTAGCTGGAGTTAGAATGGGATTTGCTAATAATTGGTATCTGGTGGTTGTAATTCTTGTTATTAATCAAAAATGGGCAGTTGGGCTAATATACATTGTTGTTCTGATGCATTTCCAGCAACAGATGTTTAAGATTTCTTGTCTGTTATACGAAGTAGTTATAGCTGGAAAGAGAATGGATTTAGTTAATCATTGGTGTATAGCTCTTTTAACCAAGCATTTGGGTTTAGTATATGTTTCTTGTCCTGATTCATGTCCAGCAAACAGTGTTAATAATATCTTCTGTATCTTAATGGGGTCTTATTATTTTTTGTCTTTAACACCTTTTTATTCTCCCTATTCAAATCAATGGATGATTGATATTAGTGATATTTAGACCAACTGTATTAATAGCCTTAATATTTCTCTTTTAGTGACTACAAGTACTCTCTTCACACTTCATATGATATAAACGAATTATGTCTTTTTGTACATGGTATTTACATAAAATTAAATCCTTGAGTATCTGATTTCATTACTCATATTATTTGGGAATGATTCAAAATCGACCGTTTTAATATGGTTGTGTTTGGAATGAAGTTGTGTTTTACTCGTACTGTCCTTTGTCTCTAAATTTCAACTTCACCCATATTCTTCTGGCTAGGTTCAAACTTCAAAGTCTTGTGTCTTGGAATTTTTTTGGTCAGTGTTCATTTGGAGCATTGTCTGCTTCTTCCGAATTGCTTCTGTTCGTAATTAGCACGTGATATCTTCATGTACCCCACACTTACTTGCTCTTGCCAGCTGTCATCCCAATGTTATAAAATTCCTCTTTTTAGTCTAGTCTTTAGGGTGTTTGTCACGAGTTTAGGATCAACCGATTGATTAATAAGATTAACAATGTACGGATCAGTTTTATTTCGGACAGTCGTTCTGTAGTTAATAATGTTATCCACAAATTTGATCTTAATAATCATTTTTTTAATAAAATGGTTTGACCTCGTCGAACCTCTTTGGGTCTGGTGGTGGACTGGTCAATCTTATTCATATGTTGTTGTACCATGTGATGATTTAGGCGAATGCTTTGATTGCTTTAGCATTTCGAGAAGATGTGAGTATTATTCTTATCCAAGGAGTCAAGTTGTCTAGGCAAGATATTGTATTTATCTGATCAATTATTTCTTTTGCAGCACTTGCAATTTTGCTTTGTACAATTATGTCATCTTTCATGCATCATTGATGAAAGACCGTTGAATGTGTATAATATAAGTATAATAATCCCTTTCTGTTACGGCTGTGGAGATATGCAACTGATGCAAGCAATGAAAATGACATTTTTGCTAGTTGCCTTCCCTTTTCACTGTCTGAATTTGTACCTGTTCTTACTCTAAATTCTTGTTTGCTTGCAGTTTGGCAGCTCTGTGCTGTTGCTGCCTGTTGGACGCCTGCTTTTGATTGATTGATACATCATACCCCAGAGATTCAACTCGGATGGGCTGAGGATTATCGTGATTATTTGATACACAATCATGTGAAATTGGAAAAACAAAAAAAAGATGTTTGTTTCGTATCATGTGTAGCTAATCGACTCAAACCCCTCCCCCAACCCCCCCTCCCAGATCTTAAATTGTTTTTTCGTAAATAATTTGAATATTTTGAATTGGATTAAGTTTGCTCTCTCTGTTGTTTGTCTTCTGAAATTTAGCTTTTTAGCTTTTGAAACTATAGAGCAGAGCTCATTTGTTTTGCCGTGCATCCAATCTTGTGCTTTTCCTATACGACTTTGGTGATGGTATTTTGTGGTACAGATGTGATATAAATGCCTGTCTTTCTGAAACCTTACAGTAGCCTATGGCACAAGTAGAATACCGTTTACTCTGTATATAATTCGTATCATACTAGAGAAGAGTTGGCTGTGAGCCGTGTGGAATCATGTTCTAGCTTTCCAAAGTACAGGATTAAAGTACAGGTTTTAGAACTTGAATGGCAACAAACACTAGCAAGACATGGTTTCATATTCTTAACGTCTTCATACTGTGTTTGGATGGTCACACTGTCTAATCATTAGTATTTACAGCAACATCATCAACCACAAATAACAGTCTACTATGAAATAAGTATATAGACTACATACCAATATCAAACGGTTAAATTAAACTTGAGCAATGACTTGTTGTCATTGAATTACCAATTCTAAATCGTACGAGTTTGTCAAATACCTATTCGCTTAGTGACTTTTTAGGGAAAAAAAGTTGATAATTCTTCTAACTAAAAAGTTGTTTATCAAACTTTTTTTACGAGATATATATATATCTCAACCAAAAGCTATTTACGAAACACTCCTTTATATATATTACACCGTACTATCTTATTATTGGGAGTAATTGTATAACTAGGTCGTTGGTTTGATTGTTTGAGAGATCACAGTGGATCCTACCAACCTCGTCAACCTACCAACGTAATTTGCATAATTATCTGAGCAATATTTGCTCCACAGGTTTTAATGATGCTTTAGAATTATAATTAAGATGATGATTCACTTCAAAATCGATAGGTTACAACGGAGATGATGCCGATTTACCAATTTGTAACTTATTGACTTAATTCAATTAAAAAATAATTAGAAACAATATGAATTGAGGATGGATTATACTAAGAGTATATACTTTATAAGCAGTCTACCATTCAAGTGCCAAAAATGAATTGACACCTTTTTAACAATGTGGCATTTAGAACCTGAATTTAACATTAATAACCTGTAACAATTAATAACACAGAGAACCATATAACTTGTTGTAAATAAAACCCCTGAAAATTTCAGCCAAAGGTTAAAAGTGTGAGTCCCACAATGAGGTAAAGGAACCATCCTAGAAACATCAAAGAAATTGCAAACTTCTGTCTTTAATAATCTCTCTCCTCAAAACGACAAACTTTGGCTTATTGCATTTGCATATATTGGTCGTCGCATAATGTTTAATTTAGTCTATGTTATTTCAATATTTGTATTTCCAACACTTAGCTTCCTACTTGATAAATCATAAACCTTCACCCTTTTATTTAGAAATTGTTGGAGTGAATAATAGTATGTCTTGGGTGATAGATGGGATGTATGAGTTTGTTACGACACTTTGGAGGCTCCAAGAAATGAGGTTTTCTATAATGGTCGACCAAACTACTTCCTTTGTTATTCATCTCATTTTCTCTGCTACTTCTTGTGTAATGCTTCTTAGGAGACGAATGAGATGATTATATTTTTTTAATTATTTTTCTATGTATCTAGTGTTTTATACCTTTTCATCATGCACCATTTTTATCAACTCCTAAAATGCTTATGTTTGTGATTAATTCCTTTGAATGAACTTGCATTGTTTGTTGACGACGTGTTTGATAATCACGTGGTTAAGATATATTCACTTGGCTTGTTTGACTATCTAGTTAATTTGATTGCAACAATGTAGTAGAGGGTCGTTTTTGCATGTAATTTTTAAATGCTTTAGTGCTAACTTTGTACCATTACCGTGTAAGATGAATAAAGTAACATATAGAATATCAAGATTTAAATGAAAGATGTTTATGGTGGTTTAAGGAATTAAGAGGAAGAAGTGGAGGATTGATAATTATTAAACTCAAATGACTCTGATAGAATCCTAATTTTATTATTTTTCATTCTTCCATCATTCACTGGCTACAAAGTCTCGATCATATCACATTGGAAGCATGTCTTGTGCACCGGTGGTCGGTGGATGTAGCTAGATAAAAATGTTAAGATGCCCTCCTCACGAGAGATACTCCTAACGTAAGTAGCTACCTTTGATATGATTCGAGCATACTAAATACATGTATTCTTGTGGGTTTGTGCCTCGAGTGCTGAGGAAGAACGAAAGTCTTATTCATGTCCAATTCAAATGTATGGCGCCTAAACTAGCCAAACTAATAGCTCTAATTGCACTCTGGGCCTAACTCATGAATAGCCCATGGGCTTATCATTTTATTTGGTTAAATAGTTGTAAAAATAATTAAAGTAGGCCATCAATAAAAAAAAAAAAAAAAAGGGAAAATAAATGGGGAAAAAAAAAAAGGTAGGAAGAGGTTGCTTTAAATTGTGTAGGTACATAATTGAGATATTGAGGGTGATGACACTCACAGTCACACATGTGAGGGAAGGAGGAGGAATTAAGGTGATGCCTTAATAGTTAAGATCCTTATTTCATGCTACTCTTCATTATCTTGCAAAAGCCGAAAGTTTATATTTTTGTCTTCCAAAGTTTTTAGAAGAGTGTTATAAACTCTATTTCGTGGTGCATCTACCACACTTGTGATCTTCATGACAATTAGTTTTAGGATATGGTATAAAATAATAATGTTCATTGTTTAATCGATATTGATTTAAAGTAAAATAAGCGACTTTATTGCGTAAACAATGAGATGTCAAGATTGTGAGAAACTAATAATTTTCCTTACATGTTGTATCATGATCAACCCCATATAAATTTGAGATACACTCAGATAATCACTTAGTTTTCATTCTTATCAATAAAATCCTGATCAGTCTTTATATATAGTATGTGCTCACTTAGTTTATTAATAAATAATTCCATAAAAAAAATTGTTATTCATACACTCCATTTATTAAATAACAAATTAAAAACACAATGATAAAACATGCGTGTTCAATGTTTTGAATTTATTAAGATATATCACCAAAACATTTAAACCACATACAAATACATGTACACCATACACACAAGTGTGAGATTTTGCTTAAACGACTTTACAAGTATGTGCAAATACTAACACATTTCTAAGGTCTCGAAAACTCAAAGTTAAAAATCATGGACGATGAGGTAAGACAAATTTAAGTAACATCACTTTGCTTAACATTGTTCTAACGTTTTCATACAACTTCTAAGTTCTAACAAAACGTTTCCCCCCAAAACCCCCTCGGGAAGTCTTTGTACGAGTATAATATTGTAAGCTATTTTTATTTATAAGCAAGAGTAGTAATAGTAAGTAGCAGTAAGTAGAAATGTGAGGAAATGTGAACACCAAATGAGATTGTTGATTTATCCATGAATAGCAACAAACAAGATAAAGATATGACGACAACAATTAGCTAAAAAAAGTCAAGACTCAAAAGAATAAAGATGATATAAAGAACAAGAAGAAAACAATCACTTCATAATTTGATTAATTTCATACCACCTTCATAAAATCCAACCCAAGGAAAGAAAAAAAAAAAAAAAAAAAAAAAAAAAAAAAAAAAAAAAGGAAAACAATAAAAAAAGCAGACAACAGTGAGTCACAATGCACAAAACCCAAGAGAAAAGAATAAGAAAGAATCCAGAAAAGTAAAAATTGAAACAAGTGGGTCTGTCTTTTTCTTTTTATCACTCCACTGTCACACTACCGGAAAAACCCCATTTTTTTAGAGAGAGAAAACTCAAGTTAGTTAGAGGAGAGAGAAAATCAACCACCACTCTAAAATGACGTCGACGACAATCGCCGGAAACCGGCGGCGAGAACAACCGTCGTCTCACCAGTACTACTACTCTAATACGCCGTCGTATTTCTCACCTTCATCGTCATCATCACCTTCACTGATTAAAGGTTGCTGTTGTTGTCTCTTTCTACTTTTCTCTCTCCTGGCACTCATCACACTCGCCGTAATCCTCGTCATTGTACTCGCCGTTAAACCGAAGAAACCTCAGTACGACCTCCAGCAAGTTGCCGTACAATATGTCGGAATCTCGCCGACATCCGGCACGGCTCCCGGCGGCGTATCGCTGTCATTGTCGGTACGATTCATATTCACGGCGGTGAATCCGAACAAAGTAGGGATAAAGTACGGTGAATCGAGGTTTAATGTGATGTATAGGGGGATTCCGTTGGGGAGGGGGACGGTGCCGGGGTTTTATCAGCCGGCGCACAGTGTGAGGACAGTGGAGACAATCGTGTCCGTTGATCGGGTGAATTTGATGCAAGCTGATGCGTCGGATTTGGTCAAGGATGCGTCGATGTATGATAAGGTTGAGCTTAGGGTTTTGGGAGATGTTAGCGCCAAAATAAGGATAATTAGCTTTGATTCGCCTGGTGTTCAGGTTTCTGTTGATTGTGAGATTGTTATTAGTCCTAAGAAACAGTCTTTGACTTATAAACAATGCGGATTTGATGGATTGCGTGTTTGATTCTCGATTCCATTTCTGAGGAAGATGATGATGATGGAGGAGGATCAAGGTCTGATAAATGACACTTTTTTTTTCCTTTTTTTTTTTTAATTTTTGGGATTAAATAATTGAGTATCTATGATTTATTATATAGTGTATTAAATTTGTTTATGAGGGTAGTAATTAAGTAATTAGTTGTAGTTATTATAAATACTTGCTATATATGTGGAGAAAAGTAGTGGTGAATGGTGATGTCAATCTGCAAATTTTGCTGACTTTTTTTAGTTGTTAGTTGCTAAATTGTAAATGGGCTTCACTTAATTTGGGTTACCCTTGAGTTCTCTTGATCAACTGTAAGATGATTACGAAAGAAAACAAGAATTTTCAGCTTAATTGGGTGTTTGTTGCAAATTCAATCATTATTTTCAGTGCAGTTTCAGCATTCTAATCTCTGTTTTCTGCATTTATGGTATCGTGTTGTACGAGTTTGTGTCAAGGCTTGTTGGAGCCTTGGAGGGTTATGCAACATTATAAGGATATGATATATAGGTTCCAATTTGCATGTTTCTATTGTTGAATGTGCCATTTAAGCATCATGCCATTGTTCGGTTATCTGATATCTGGCATAAGCAGGAAAAGTGTGTGTAATACTGGTTAGAGGAGATTTCTATTTCTAGATTTATATCTAGCTTGTCCTGCTATTGATTGTTTTAGTTAATTCATGACAATGTAGACATTTTGATGGTTTTATTTTAATAATTGTTGGGGTGATCAATCAAGCATGTCATTTTCCTTTCATGGAGAGTGGTTGCTGAAGTATATGGCAGCAATTTTATAGCCTTCTAGGCATATATTGTAGAGGTTGAGAAGATAAAGGCCCTTTTATCATGCAAATATAAGGGTTCCGCAAATGTGGAGAATAGGAAAGGAATATTAGCGAATAATCAGATTGGATTTTGGAAGTGGTGCTAATTTGCAGGGTCAGAAGCAGATTTCTCTATACCTGACCGTGCTAGACATGGTGGAGGCGTGGAGCGTGTCTCTTGTTCATTTTTCTTTGCTTATGGAGTCTTTCAAAACCAATGCTGCAGTCAATCTGGGTTCATACTTGATCCTAGTTTGCTTTTGTTCCACATTGGGCTTGAAAGAGAAAAACACGGGCAATATTTAGTAGCTGCACAAAAAATTTCTAGTTTTGAGGAAGAGGGCTGGCATTTGATATATTCAAATATGGTAAGTTAAAGTGTAAAAGCATTTATATATATATAGCGTTTCTATTTTCAGTACTAGTCATATATCTGTATTTCAGAATAACATGGCTTGTGGTTTCCTGTCAAATTAATCAGTTGATATACTTAATTAGCGTAGTAAGTTAATATTCTAATAATTGCCTATATGTTTATGTATAACCTTGAACTTCTCGGTTATTAAGAATTTAGTCAATTATTCTCTTGAATTGTTTTGTCTTGAAGGATATGGTTATCAGCAATTCTCTTTGATTGTTTTTCCAGGATTTTTTGAAAATATATCAGAAAGGAATGGCGGAGCTATATCTCCAGCTTATGATTTCATCTCTTTTTCGAGTAAGTTCCTACGGAGTAATTTGTAATTTTGTCCCTCGTTAATTTATTTGCTGATTTTTTAATTTGTTGTTTGCAAAACTCAGTGGTTTAAATCTACTTTAAATATCGATTTCACCCTGACCTCTTGTGTGTGGGGTTGCTGGACATTTATAAATATCAGTATAACATTATGCAATTAAGCCAAGATATGTATGCTTTCTTGACAAAGAAAACTTGAACAATGAATTTCGGAAATATGTAGGATGTGATCAGCATGTCGCCATTTCTGCATTAAATAGACATTCTCTTAGGTCTGAAATGTTAAGTTGCATGAACTATTGCTTGTATAGTTTGGAGTTAATATTTTTGAAAATAAATCCTGAAGCTTCTTGTTAATCATGATTATATACCCATTAAGATTATTTCACATGAAGGGCTAACATTGTTTAAAAGAAAAAAGATTTTAAAAAAAAAATAAAATTAGAAAGGACTTGCATTCTTGATAATTTGTAAATTGAGCTCCTGTTGATTGGATTTCTTCGATTTTTTTTGACGTGAGAGATGATCCTGCTTTTGAACTCTTGCTGGCCTTTAGAAAATTGCCACCTTCATCTCTTAGGTGCAAAACGTCGTGTCAAATCATGCTTTTTTTTTACTCTTGCTGGCTTTTGGAAGTGCTTAAACAAGTTGTCATCTCTGAATGTGTTTGATAATCCATGATCATGCGGCTGTGAGACCGTGCATCCATCATCATGCTGTGAGACATTGCGTAAACATGTAGGATTCTCTTAAGTTAATCCATATTATATAGTTACGGAAGAACTTAAGAACTATAGGTTTTGTGGAATTTGCGCTGATATCTTTGATTTGTTGTTTAATTATTCAAGACTGACATTACTAGAATGGTGTATATCCAAAAACTACCTGTGTTCTAATTGCTAAATGCATCTTAGCATGAGATTTTTTCCTTCATGGTAAGTCAGGTAATCTATCTGATTAATCATCATTATTTTCTACACTGCTCATATTATATACTTCATAGCTAATAAATTGGGCTTTATTTTTAATGTCATTAGAGGTACAAGTATTATTGTAATATTGTTGAGCTATTCCTATTACTTAACTTCTGTAATTGTGTTATTTCCCTCTATAATAAGTGACCCTTATCATTCAGAAAAGTTAGAATTTTCACAAGTCTTCAAATTTTGAAATTTATGCTTTTAGTTCTTGCTTGCTTGTTTGGCAGGATAAACAAAATTCTGGGATAAAGAAAAGACTTCTGCTGAATTCGCATCTGTGCTGAATATCGTTCCCCTATCACATGCTTAAGGTGGCGCCCTGGCAGTCTTCCTTTCTAGTGACCTATTTGAAAAGTTTATTGATCTCTTATCTCCTCTTTGCTTTCTAGACTTTCATTAGTGCTCTGATAGCATATGCTGAATGACATTTTGATTTATTATCAGCCGAGCAGTATTTTTTTAATTTATTTATTCTACTCTGCACAGGAGGTTTCCAAGAGGAAAGTTGTTTTATTTATTTTTGATGTATAGACCACAAAGAGCAATTAATGTAAATGGAATTTAATCTGCATATGAGTGGAAAGTTATGGCATGTATGAATGGCATGTATGAATGGCATGTTAATTATGAGTTGAATTGGTTCCATCTTATGCCTGTGGTGCAAGTTGAATCAGATATAGAGGTTTCTGATTTCATGTGTAATGGCCAAGATTTTAAGAAAGTGTTGCATTCTCATTTTAAGGTTTCAGTTTATATTTCATTCCTTCTGGCCGAGATGTTTACCATGATCCCTAATACTCCTCAGGAGTCCAATTAGGTGGATGAAACTATCCAATTACTCTTAAAACGGTCAATTTACCCGTTCACAACTTGCACTGATTTCGTGAACTCAAGCCTACCACTTACATTTATGACAACATATATTGGTCATATATGGTTCCAAACGACATTATATAACCCTGAGATGTATCCCCTAGGGCTTCAAGTCTTTCCGCAACCGGCCCCCTAACCTCCGAAATTCCTCAAAAAGTGTGGATAATAGCCTTCAATTTTTGAATATTTTGACCTTTTTTCGTCCGGAAATAAAAATGGCTGAGAAGTTTACCATGGTCCCTAATATCCTTCGAGAGTACAATTAGATTGGTGGAACCATCCGATTTGCCTTAAAACGGTCAATTTAACCGTTCAAAACTTTTACCGATTTCGTGAACTCGAGCCTACCACGGACATTTATAACAACATAAAATGGTCTTATATAGTTCTAAACTGCATTATATGACCCTTAGATGTATCCCTTAGTGCCTTAAGACTTTTCTCCACCGAGCCCCAAGACTCCCGAAATTCCTCAAAAAGCGTGGATAATAGCCTTCAATTTTTGAATTTTTTGACCATTTTCCGCCCACAAATAAAAATCGACAAGATGTTTAGTATGGTCCCAAATACCCTCCTAAAGTCCAATTATGTGGGCGGAACCATCCAATTTGTCTTAAAACGAACAATTTACCAGTTCAAACCATGCATCGATTTCGTAAACACAAACCTACCACGGACATGTTCGACAACATGTAATGGTCATGTATGGTTCCAAACGGCATTATATGACCCTGAGATGTATCCGCTAGGGCTTCAAGTCTTTTCGCCACCGAGCCCCATAACCTCCGAAATTCCTCAAAAAGTGTGGATAATATAGCCTTTAATTTTGGAATTTTTTGACCTTTTTTCGTCCGGAAATAAAAATGGATGAGAAGTTTACCATGGTCCCTAATATCCTCAGGGAGTACAGTTAGGTTGATGGAACCATCCAATTTGCCTTAAAACGGTCAATTTCACCGTTCAAAACTTTTACCGATTACGTGAACTCAAGTCTACCACGGACATTTATAACAACATATAATGGTCATATATGGTTCTAAACTGCATTATATGACCCTGAGATGTATCCCCTAGTTCCTTAAGACTTTTCTCCACGGGCCCCAAGACTCCTGAAATTCCTCAAAAAGAGTGGATAATAACCTTCAATTTTTAAATTTTTTTACCATTTTTCGCCACAAATAAAAATCGACGAGATGTCTAGTATGGTCCCAAATACCCTCCTAAAGTCCAATTCTGTCGGCGGAACCATTTAATTTTCCATAAAACGATCAATTTACCAGTTCACAACATGCACCGATTTCGTGAACACAAACCTACCACGGACATGTTCGAGAACATTAAATGGTCATATATGGTTCATAACGACATTATATGATCCTAAGATGTATCCGCTAGGGCTTAAGGTCTTTTCGCCACCGAGACCCGTAACCTCCGAAATTCCACAAAAAGTGTTGATCATAGCCTTCAATTTTGGAATTTTTAGACCTTTTTTCGTCCGAAAAAAATGGCTGAGAAGTTTACCATGTTCCCTAATATCCTCCGGGATTACAATTAGGTTGGTGGAACCATCCAATTTTCCTTAAAACGGTCAATTTAACCGTTCAAAACTTTTACCGATTTCGTGAACTCAAGCCTACCACGGACATTTATAACAACATATAATGGTCATATATGGTTCTAAACTGCATTATATGACCCTGATATGTATCCCCTACTTCCTTAAGACTTTTCTCCACCGGGCCCCAAGACTTCCGAAATTCCTCAAAAAGCGTGGATAATAGCCTTCAATTATTAAATTTTTAGACCATTTTTTGCCTCTTAATAAAAATCAACGACATGTTTAGTATGGTCCCAAATACCCTCCTAAATTCCAATTCTGTGGGCGGAACCATCCAATTTGCCTTAAAATGATCAATTTACCGGCTTACAATATACAACGATTTCGTGAACTCAAACCTACCACGGACATGTTCGACAACATTTAGTGGTTATGTATGGTTCCAAACGGCATTATATGACCTTAAGATGTATCCCCTAGGGCTTCAAGTCTTTTTGCCACCGGGCCCTATAACCTCCGAAATTCCTCTAAAAGTGTATCAATAATTATGATTCTATTGTAACAAAAGATTCCCTTTTTATATGGAAAAGGCCCGTATCAATAATTATGATTTTACGTATAGACAATTCCTCAATATCTTGTTCATTCACAACAAAATATTTTCTTTGTGTGTCGGTAAAAAAAACATGTTTTTTTGGAGAGAGATACTATTTCACCAATCGAGTCACAGGTATCTAACATATTTATACCTAACGATTTTCCAATTCGATCCGATCTATTAGTTCGTAGAACTATTTACTCGATCGCGGACATTTCTAGAACACCTCTAACAGAGGGACAAATAGTCCATTTTGAAAGAACTTATTGTCAACCTCTTTCCGATATGAATCTATCTGATTTAGAAAAGAAGAACTTGCATCAATATCTCAATTTCAATTCAAACATGGGTTTTATTTACACTCCATGTTCTGAGAAATATTTACTATCGGAAAAGAGGAAAACACGGAGTCTTTGTCTAAAGAAATGCGTTGAGAAAGGGCAGATGTATAGAACCTTTCGACGAGATAGTGCTTTTTCAACTCTCTCAAAATGGAATCTATTCCAAACATATATGCCATGGTTCCTTACTTCGATAGGGTACAAATATCTAAATTTTCTATTTTTAGATACTTTTTCAGACCTATTGCCGATACTAAGTAGCAGTCAAAATTTTTTATCTATTCTTCATGATATTAGGCACGGATCAGGTATATCATGGCGAATTCTTCAGAAAAAATTGTGTCTTCCACAATGGAATCTGATAAGTGAGATTTCGAGTAAGTGTTTACATAATCTTCTTCTGCCCGAAGAAATGATTCATCGAAATAATGAGTCACCATTGATATGGACACATCTGGCATCGCCAAATGTTCGGGAGTTCTTCTATTCAATCCTTTTCCTTCTTCTTGTTGTTGGATATCTCGTTCGTGCACATCTTCTCTTTGTTTTCCGAGCCTCTAGTGAGTTACAGACAGAGTTCGAAAAGGTAAAATCTTTGATGATTCCATCATACATGATTGAGTTGCGAAAACTTCTGGATAGGTATACTACATCGAAACCGAATTCCTTCTAGTTAAAGAATATCTTTTTGGTTGCTTTAGAACAATTAGGAGATTCCCTAGAAGAAATGCGGGGTTCTGCTTCTGGCGACAACATGCTATTGGGTGGTGGTCCCGGTCCCACTTATGGGTTCAAATCAATACGTTCTAAGAAAAAAGATTTGAATATTAATCTCATCGATATCATCGATCTCATAAGTATCATACCAAATCCCATCAATCGAATCACTTTTTCGAGAAATACGAGACATCTAAGTCATACAAGTAAAGAGATCTATTCATTGATAAGAAAAAGAAAAAGGGTGAACGGTGATTGGATTGATGATAAAATCGAATCCTGGGTCGCAAGCAGTGATTCGATTGATGATGAAGAAATAGAATTCTTGGTTCAGTTCTCCACTTTAACGACAGAAAAAAGGATTGATCAAATTTTATTGAGTCTGACTCATAGTGATCATTTATCAAAGAATGACTCTGGTTATCAACTGATTGAACAACCGGGAGCAATTTACTTACGATACTTAGTTGACATTCTAAAAAGTATCTAATGAATTATGAGTTCAATACATCTTGTTTAGCAGAAAGACGAGTATTCCTTGCTCATTATCAGACAATCACTTATTCACAAACCTCGTGTGGGGCTAATAGTTTTCATTTCCCATCTCATCGAAAACCCTTTTCGCTCCGCTTAGTCCTATCCCCCTCTAGAGGTATTTTAGTGATAGGTTCTATAGGAACTGGACGATCCTATTTGGTCAAATACCTAGCGACAAACTCCTATGTTCCTTTTATTACGGTATTTCTGAATAAGTTCCTGGATAACAAGCCTAAAGGTTCTCTTATTGATGCTAGTGACTATATTGATGCTAGTGACGATATTGATGCTAGTGACAATATTGACGCTAGTGACGATATCGATCGTGACCTTGATACGGAGCTGGAGCTGCTAACTATGATAATTGCGCTAACTATGGATATGATGCCGGAAATAGACCAATTTTCTATCACCCTTCAATTCGAATTAGCAAAAGCAATGTCTCCTTGCATAATATGGATTCCAAACATTCATGATCTGGATGTGAATGAGTCGAATTACTTATCCCTCGGTCTATTCGTGAACTATCTCTCCAGGGATTGTGAAAGAGGGTCTACTAGAAATATTCTTGTTATTGCTTCGACTCATATTCCTCAAAAAGTGGATCCCGCTCTAATCGCTCCAAATCAATTAAATACATGCATTAAGATACGAAGGCTTCATATTCCACAACAACGAAAGCACTTTTTCACTCTTTCATATACTAGAGGATTTCACTTGGAAAAGAAAATGTTCCATACTAATGGATTCGGGTCCCTAATCATGGGTTCCAATGTACGAGATCTTGTAGCATTTATCAACGAGGCCCTATCGATTAGTATTACACAGAAGAAATCCATTATAGACACTAATGCAATTCGATCCGCTCTTCATAGATAAACTAGGGATTTGCGATCCCAGGTAAGATCGGTTCAGGATCATGGGATCCTTTTCTATCAGATAGGAAGGGCTGTTGCACAAAATGTACTTCTAAGTAATTGCCCTATAGATCCTATATCTACCTATATGAAGA